ACACGGCAAGCCGTTGAACAATCTCTGAACGATTTGTTGGATAACTGGGTTCCCGAAGATCAGAAACCAAGGAGCCTAGTCTTGGAGCGAGATGGACGAGGAGACTCTGCCCCATTTTGTGAGAGAATGGCTACTAGATGACATCAAGGCAGGATGAACCAGAAAAGAAGCTTTCGCAGGTGATGGACCGTACAGTGTAGGTATGAGCCAAAAATGTATGACCTGACTATTCACTTGGCGACTATTATGCGAACCATTTTAGGCACATCACCGTGTGATTTTGCCACACATAAGGTAATCTTCGATTTCGCCACACCTGAGGTACTAGTAATCTTATGTGGATAAAGAGATACAGTATTCGCCACACAAGCGTGACCCCGATAAGCTTTTTTCTTAGCACTATATTGCAATCAGCGGTTTATGAGGTAGATTTCGCGCAAAACAAGCGTGAATAATCGATTATTAGATTAGAGCTTCTGGCAGAATGTGCTGGCTGAAAGCACGTGCAAGTGCTGCTCGCCGAGCATTGTCAAATCTTCTCGCTCGTGAACCCGTCTTTTACGCATCTTACGCTACGAAAATGCTGGTGAAATCTTGAATTCTCATACAGTACATGTACGAGAAAACGTTAAAAACACACGTTCAGATCTGATCAACACAGTACTACTAGACCTTAAAACGAGTTTGTCAGCGCTCTATCAGACTCTTAGCACTACTCGATTTTGCTATGATACACTTGTCGAAGACTGAGGTCGATCCAGCCGAGATTAGCTACTCGCTATTGAATGTGATCTTCGTTAAATACTTTAGCAAGTCTGAATAGCTTAGCTCGGGGCGCTGGATTGATCTAATCGGTAGTTTGGCGCTATATCGGAAATTTCACAATAGACCTGGGAAAATGCTCAATGACTTCGCAACCACCCAGCACGCTGTGCTTGTCGGTCAAACTGGACACTTCTGGCCTTACTTACTTGGCGCCGGTCTCGACATCACCGGCAGTGGCGTCGAGTCCACTTGTGTACCTGGTTAACTAACAAACGACATGCCTGCATACAGTGGAGCTCGAGCGCCCCGCGAAGAAGCAGTCGACAGTTGCCTGGTTAATTCAGCTCAATGAAGCCCAGCCTGCACGGCGTGCGTCTGCTGCTAGCCTGTCGCGAGCTTCGATGCGAAGAAGCGTGACCGCAAGCGTTGCGGTCCTCATCCGCAGCATGTTCCGCATCCGTCGCGACATCGAAGGAGTAAAGCATCACACAAATAAGCACAAACGGTGGCCAGGCAAGTCCAAAGACGCTGTGCTGGGCGGCCGTCTGGCCGAGAGCCTTGGCGGTGGTCCCGCGCTTGAGTGATCGACGGGCAGTTCCGGTGCCAAAACCGGGCGCACTAGATTTTCCATAACCAGGGACCCATGTGGGTACCCAGAAGCAATCGTTGCTAGAGGATCGCCTGCAACGCCCTCCATGATCGCTGCCTGCTCGGTCGCGCCGGTAGCAGGGCGATGATGGAGCCTAGCAGTGTATTACACCTCCAATCACTGCATATGAGCTCCTGAAGTGAGCAATATATCGATCGCCATGCGGCGACGCGTCCTCCTCATACCTTTTATTTAACAGAATGTAGTGTCGAAGCTCTGTGGGCATCCAGCGCACGCAATTTTCGTCGTAGCGGTGTCAGAGGTAGCGCGTTGAAGTCGGAATACTTGTCTCTACATGAATGAAGCGAGCGAAGTGGCTCAGAAAGTATTAGAGCGAGCCTCACAGCCTTTGGGAGCCTTCCAAAACCTGCATTTTATCGACATAAAATGTTTCTCTAAATTCATCTCTAAATATAAACTGTGCAGAGGTCGATACATGCCTTCAAGTTGCTAAATGAGAGAGGTGTCTACTTTAATCAAGTTAACTTTTTTGGAGTTGCACAATGAGGGGGCGAAGTGACCCTTCGTTTATTCAGACGTAATTTCAGAATAAGTTTACTTAAATCCGTTTATGCAGAAGCTTAAGTAGTGTGCAGTGAATCTGGCGAATATGTTTGTGGAGCTAGACAGTTTTTAACTCTTCATCTCGAAGACTTTAACTAAAAAGAGTTGAAGCTCTTTTCACTTGTCGTAAGCTGACTTGTTCGCGAAGTTTTTCTTCTTTCCACCAACCATGATTTCCTCAAACTACTTGGCACTAGATTACTCTGGCTACGCCGTGGTGCGTATGGATTCAACAATGGGTAACTGTCCTCTTAAGGAGCCATTTTAATGGCTCCTTATTAAAATATTGAATGCAAGTGACAGAGCAGCAAACTTACGAACACGTTTGTAAACAGCACTTACAGTGAGTGAGTGTCACTGACATGTCTGCGGAGTAGACTAACTAAGCATTACCATTTTCTTAGTATTCTTCCGAAAGTGTTCTTTCCTGTTGATGCATTTATTTCCTCCAGGCAGAGGTCCGAAAATACAGTACTATATTGTATTGAGTACAATATCGGACCGTAATAAAAATTACATTTTTAGCTAGTAGCAATAATAAAAATTGCCGCAATATAAGTACATTGTACTTCAATTTGAGGCATTTCAACAGTTGAAATAAACACTGTGAACCACTTTCTATGCGAAATATGATTACAGAGCCGTTTAGAAACACTTTTTAGGGGTGTTGCTTTACATGTTGGATGCTTTTAAGCATGTTTTTAGAAAGGTTCTTTTAAAAAAACACCTAGTAGTGCTGAGCGCGAAACATGTGGATCTTACTATTTATATAATATTGTGGAAACCGATTAGATTGCCCGAGCGGATTAGCTGATAAAGCAGCGCTCATGAGAGATTTGACTGGTACTAAATCGGGGATCTATATGATTTCATATAGCATTGGTAAGGGTATAAATCGGTGTATGGTTAATAAAATGGGGGTTGCCTCATTACCCGCCAGAAATACGACGAGCGACCACTTACCGCCACGAGCTGAGTGATTCGCGTACCTACTAACGAGAAACAGCATCGCGTGCATTAAATACGCTTCTGTGAGCTTCGATGTGTACTGCATTCTATTTATCAAGTTCTGAAGTCATGTATTTGCGCTGTCATTTCTCGTCAGCATTAGCGCTTGTCGGTTTTACGTTAAATCGGCCACCGATTGCCGTGTGGGTGTCGGACATTCGGGCTGATTAGCATGCAAATCAGCCGTCCCGGGCTTTGTAAGCCGTGGAGCAGCTAAATCAGCTTGCCACATGGCGTTGTAGGCACAACTGACCGCTCTGTCAAATCAGAGTACAAATCTTAGTCTGTCGATCTAATTAGGAGGTCGGATTTAGCAAATCTGACCCGATTGAGCTTAATCATCTGCTTAATCAACCGATTTATATCCCAATTAGACAATCTAATCGGTTTCCACAATAACGTATATCTGGTGTAGTAGATGTCAGGGTTTCACCTTGTTATCACCGCAGTTAAGGGCTCGATAGCGTGTCGCGACGGTGACCTACACTAACCACAGGTAATGGGTTGTCCACAGCACCAGTCAAACTTCACACAGACACACTTCATAGTATGTGCAGATCTATAGGTGAAATGATCAACTGCTTCGTGTCCAAGGGTGTAGCTTTTTATCGAGGAAACGATGTCTGTTCATCGAGGAAACTCTGAAAAGTACGAAAATCGAGGACCAATGATGCTTTGATGATTTGTCGAGGAAAGTGGTCACTCGACAAGCAACCGGGCATTGCCTCGTGCTGCTCCAAGGCACCCCACCACATGCGCTTCGCGCGCTGCTGCCACGTCGCGGGTGCTCAATCCAAAATTGCATCACGTACGGTATTGCAACCCTGGCCAGAACGCGGAAGGTTTGGTCCAAAGTGACCTACCATGAGACTCAGCAGCGTCGGGTCTGAGAGCGGAGATCTCCACGGGTGGGTGGTAGTGAGTCACTCAGTGACTCACTACCCACCTCAGTTGGCCAAGGCGTACACTGGTGGCGCCATTTTCGGCACCGCTGTATCCTGGATGCCATCACATGCAGCGCGCTCTCGGAGCTGTTAACCTACGCGATGACACGCTTGTGGAGTACTGTAATTGTTAGCATGGTCAATCGCTGTGGCGTCGGAGAATTAGTGGCGGGCGACGTGGGAAAATAGCTCTTGGGTCTATGAAGGCGTCGAGCTCGCCCGGCGGTGAAAGCAGAATCAACGAGACCGCTACAATAACGAACTCAGCGTAATGCGTATTGACAACACGGAAAACGTTTCACTTCAAACTTAAGTACTCCACAGGGCAGACTGCCCTTCAGTGTTCGACGATAGGATCCGGCTTTCCCGGTGTACGATAGCTTCGCCCGTTCGTTCACGGCACTCAATACAGCGATCGGCAAGTTAGCGTGGAATAGCGTTGGGGGCGACTCGAAGTCCGAGGCACTGCACTGTAGCCACCACCTCATCGGCACCGCGGACGGAGATTGTCAGCTGTGAAGCCACTTGGGCTCACAAGTCGCAGGCCACGATCGTCACGCTAACGCCGCCCTGATTTCTGCCGCGCTCCTGCCAATCATGAGCGTAGCCACCTCCTCAGGCTCGGTCCAGCGGTGGTGCCGGAGCGCTGTCAGCGGCCTGGACGCCCTCGCAATAATGCATGCACTGTAGATAGCAGCTACATCGGCCGATCAACTTGCACCAAGTCGAGAGCCACAGCACTCACTCGCATCTGTCTCCGCGACACAGCCATCACTAGCGGCATGAGGTATTCAGCACTGCGCGCCAGCTGGGCCGACCGCTCATGGCGTGCGGCCAGCGCCCAGTCTATAATCGCAACACTACGTCTAGAACAGTAGTTTCTAAAACCTCTCTTCCATACAAACATTGCATCCAGCACCTAGCCATGGCTGTAATAATTGGACCGGTATACCGGTAGAATCGGCAACTGCCAGCCTGCATGTCGTCCGTCGCAGCGCTCGGCTCGCCTCCGCTCCGCCGCACTCCCTCATTCTCTGCACCAAGAAGCTTCGCTCAGCGATTAGCCAGCCATGTACGCGGGGAACTCGCCCATCGGGGAGAACGCCGGCGAGCGCACGCACTCGAACGTGTGGCGCGACACGTCCGAGGAGGAGATGTACGGCAGCTACCTGGGCCCAGGCGCCAACGACGCCGGCAGCGACGTGCCCATGATGCGCCCCACCATGAACGCGCGGCCCTCGACGGCCATCCACCAGGAAATCGCCGTGGGCCAGCTGGACCTGGACGAGTCCGCCGCCGGCGCGGGCGCGCGCAAGTCGTACTCGGGCCGCAAGGTCGTGTGGCCCGGCGCGCTCTTCCTGCTCGTGGTCTCGGCCGCTGCGCTCGCGCTCATCGCGTACTTCGGCGTGGAGCAGTACAACAGCGCGCAGTCGCAGCAGGCGCTGACCGAGTCAGCCACGGAGGTGGACAGCGCGCGCAAGAGCACGAGCGTCAAGAGCTGCCTGCTGCCCGACTACGTGACGTCCAACGGCAAGATCTACGCCACCGACAGCCGCACGGGCGACAAGGAGCAGCTCGTCTTCACGGGCATCAACTGGAGCGGCATGGAGAACGCCGAGGGCGTGCCGCACGGCCTGGCCACCAAGCAGAGCTACCTGGACGACATCGCGGCCAACCTGTCGGACAACGGCTTCAACGCCGTGCGCCTGCCGCTCAACGCGCAGATGGTCATCGACAACTCGGCGCCCAACACCAAGCTCTTCGTCAACAGCCTCGACACGGACCTCAACGTCGACACGTACATCGACATGATCAAGAAGGTCGTGCAGGGCCTCGGCAAGCAGCAGATCGGCGTGCTGCTCGACATCCACAAGATCGACCCCAACTTCACGGACGACACGTCCGAGCACCTGTGGTACACGGACGACTACCCCATCGCCACCATCTACAAGATGTACGAGACGCTGGCCACCGAGCTCTGCAGCGACCTCGAGTACAACATCATCGGCATCGACCTCAAGAACGAGCCCGTGGGCGGCTGCTGGCCCGAGGACGACACGGACGACTACTGCGACGCGGACGTCAACTGGCCGCGCGCCGTCGAGACCATCGGCAACAAGATCCTGGCCATCTGCCCCAACTGGCTCATCGTGGCCGAGGGCAACTACATGACCAGCTCCACCACGGAGATCAACGGCGTCAACGTGACGTACAACGACTGGTACGGCGCCAGTCTGCAGAACGCCAGCATCAACCCCATCAAGCTCGACACGACCGGCAAGCTCGTCTTCGCGCCGCACTTCTACTCGCCCAGTGTGTATCCGTCGTCCTACTTCTTCAAGAAGCAGTCCTCCAGCGGCGACACCGTGTCGGTGACCGAGTACCCGAACACGACGGCCGGCAACGAGCTGCTCAAGGCCGCCCTAACGGCTGTGCTGGACAACGCCTTCGGTAACGCCGTGACGGAGGCCGGCGTGCCCACGTTCTACGGCGAGTTCGGCGGTATTTACGGCTCGGCCGAGCTGCTGGAGGGCCTCACGAGCACGCGCGTCATCGAGATGCTCATCGAGTACGCTAATGATATGAACATGACGGGCGGCTTCGCGTGGGCCATCAACCCGGACGGATCCTACGACTTCAACGACGAGTACAAGCCCGACGACCCGTGGCAGTACGGCCTGTACACGAGCTCGTCGTGGGACGCGTACCACACGGACTTCGCCACGGGCCTACAGAACCTCAAGGGCAGCGGCTCGTTCCCGTGCTTCTCCAAGGTCACGACGGTGACGTCCTCGACGTCCGGCAGCGGCAGCGCCACCATCACGGTGGACTCGACGACCAGCAGTGGATCAAGTGCGACTGCCACGACGACGACGACTTCTACGGCTGGTTCCACCACGTCTTCAGGTTCCAGCGCTGCTGCGACGACGGCGGCTACCACTACGACTACGTCCACGGCGTCTTCAAGTGCGACGGCCACTGCGGTTTAGAGTGACGGGTTGATGAACGCGACTGGCCCTTCCTGTGTAATATGCGTCCGGCCACGCAAGTTTTTGCCTCTAGTTGCCCCGTCGTCCTCGTGCGCACTGGGGCTGTGCATGCCTTCTTCATTTTCGCCTTTAATTCTTCCTAAGAAACGTAAAATGCTCGGAGCTGCAATCGAAACTGAAAGAGAAGAAAGAACTGGCGGGTAGAACAAACAGGACGTGAGAGCAGCGCCAATAGGTTGAATGAAAAGAGAGATAGTAGTTTGCTAGTGAAGCAGCCACCGCTCCACTGCGTTGCATTAGAGACCCCACACCGCACCAAAACCTGTCGTTGAACTCACTTTCTCACGCCTCCGTCTTCATCTTCTTCTGTTGCCGCTGCGCCTGCTCCGCGCATGCCCGCTTGATGGACGCGTTCTTGGCCAGCAGCTCGTAGTACTTACTCTGGTAGTTGTACAGCTTGGCGGCGTTGCGCGCCTGCTCCTGCTGGCGGGCCAGGTTGATCTTGTCGGACGCGGCCTTTGTCTCCTTCACCGCGTGCTCGTACTGCGCGTTCATGCCGTCCAACACGGCCGCGCGCACCTTGGCCAGCTTGGTGCCGTAGTCCTGCTGCAGCTCCAGGTTCACCACCCTGCACAGCGAGACAATAATTAAATCAGCATTCTACCCAATTCTACTTTGTTCTACACTTTTACTATCAAAGGTAGAATCGACCCACCTATTGTTCTGGTGTTCTACCGCCACCTCGAGCTGCTTGGCAGCGTGCTCCCAGGCCTCGAGACTCTGCGCGTGCTTGCCCGTGGGCTCCTTCACCTGGTACCTGTTCATGTCGATGGCGTCCAGCGGCACGTTGGCCGCCACGCGCTTGAACTCGGTCTGCAGGCGCGTTCTACCGCCGAAGGTGGGCGAGTAGGGCGGCAGGTAGGCCAGGTATTTGTCCGCGGGCGGCGCGAACGTGGCCATCTCGGCGCGGATCAGCGCCTGCACCTGCTGCTGGCTCTGCGGCGAGTTGTACTCCGTGTCCACGTAGCCCAGCGAGTCGATGAGCGCGCGGCTCTCCAGCAGCAGCGGGCACGTCGACGGCGCCATGAGGTCTGCTGCTCTACGCTGCGCTCTACCTGGTGGCTCAAAAAGTGGTGTGATGTCACTAAAATGTCACTAGAGTGAAGAATGTGTAGGCGATTTACATACTTACTTGTTCTACCGAGGTTGGCTATCCTACTTTTCGTGTCATCTTTGTTGGTCGGTACTTCAGCTATCTTGATTTCCACATATCCAGGTACTTCAGCCAGTACTTATAGTTGGTGTGTGTGTGGTCCCCTCCCCCAGGACCATGCCCAGCCCCTTGAAAGCTTCCGATTGGCGTCAACCGTACCAACAGGAACATGTAGCGGTCATGAATTGTCGCCAAAATCTTGTCCGCTCTCTCTTCGCCGTCGTTGGCGCCTTCCGTCCTCAAAAGCTGGCTACCTGCACCGTCGGTAGTAAGGGTTCGCACGCCAGGAGAGACCTTGATCAACTGCAGCCACGGCACTTGAGCTTGAAAGTAGGGCGCCGACGGTCAATAAAATCGAGCATACCGGTGGCTTTCGGGCGGCGTAGTCGATGCGTGTAAGCTTAGCTTGAAACAATAAACCGAAGTGATTGAAAAACCGCAGCGCATCGACATGTTGATAATTCCTCGTTTAGTTGCGAGTAGGATTGGCCACAGTTGTGAGTAAGTAAATATCGCTGACTTCATTGTGACCATCACCCGCACGTTGACCACTCCCTGTTTACACTCAGAAAGTGGCAAGTATGATCTTCCAAGACTTAACTCTGGATGAGCGAACTCTACGTAGTAAACCACATTACACTATATATTCGGCGACAGATTCTATCCGCTGACACTCGCGGTGTACCCAACAGCTTCAATGGCAGCTATGAGATCGCTAACTGCTGCCGAGCCCGATACGTACGCCGCTTGTTCATCGAACTCTACGACCGCATCCGTCACACCCGGCGTGTTCTTCAACGCGGTCTGAACAGCATTGCCGCAATTCGTTTTGCATGTCATGCCGCCGACCTCGATGCGAACAGTGGACGGGTTGGTGAATCGCCACGCGCCACGCTCCTCCATGATGTCCAAGTCGACGTTCTTGAAGAGCATGAAGCCGGCGCCGAAACCCGCGAGCAGCGCGATGAACAAACCCGTTTCGTACGTCATCACGATCAGCATGGCAAAATACGCCACGGTCATCTGGACCATGTACAACACTGCGAGTACCAGTTTGCACTGCATTTTGTGAAGTTTGTCCGTCGGTCGGAGCTTGCGAGCTTTCAGCAACTTCTTCCGCACCAGTTCTCGGGCTTTCGCGAGTAATTCGTTCATCACTGCGAGGAGAAAGCAACCGATGAAGCCGAACGCGTACTTGACGGCGGTGTTTAGCACCCATGGCTGGAAGATCAGCATCACGCACGACCCGTTTATCGACGTCTGGAAACCGTTGAACATGACCGACCCCTGACCAGTGCAGAAGTCCGAGCTGGTTGAGGACATGTCGGACATGGCGGCAGTGCTGCTTGACGCGGATGTCGTCGTGCCGCTCCCGCTCGCTGACGAATACTCCGATACGAAACTCACAGCCGCGGAGCTCAGCGTCGTGATGGCCGTGGCGTCCGAGCACGAAGTCCCAGCGCAGAGCACGTCGTCGACCAGATACCGCGGCTTGCTGTTGACATTGGCGAGGTACGCTTTGCGGTTGTCGTGCGACGCGAAGTAGATCTTCTGACCTTTGTCCAAGCAGACGTACACGAAGTTGTCCGTCGTGACGGGGTTTCCAGTGACTGGGTCCTTGATTCCATCTGCGCACTCGGGGCACGCGTCCTCGCAGCTTGTGTAGTCGTCTTCCGTCGGGTTCACAATGAATTCGGCCATGTTGGCAGCCAGGTAAGCTGCGTTCCTCACCTTGAAGCTGTAGTCCGCAGTGGACTGTGGTCCCATGCTACAGGCGAAGATCTTCTGGCCGTTAGTCATGGCCACGTAGTAGGCAGTGTTCGAGGTCATTCCGCACACGGGGCACTCATAATCCGTCGTCGACGAGACCAGATCGCGGTGCATTTGCATTTCGCGATGGTCGTGGTGGTGGTGGTGGTGGGGAGTTGCGAGTTCCACGAGCATTCCGGCGATGGCCGTAGCGACCCACAGACGAAGACACCCGAGCATGGCGAGGCAAGTTGCAGAGTAAAGCAATGTCCGATAGAGACCCAAAACCAACCCAGTGGTTTCTGAACTGCTCAAGAAAAAATGACGGAGTTTGCGCACCTGGGCAAAATTTAGAGAGCCTAACACCAGAACTGCGCGTGTCAAGCTGCTACTTGTAACGTAGTGATCATTGCAATCACTAATTTGGGTCGGCGCTCCAATCTGAACGGAAAACGCCCCCGTCCTCTTCATAATTGAAACCACTTCGTCATTGCCGTTGTTCACGATGGCAAGCGCACGCCGTCTCTGGTCCCTGGTGGAGATTCTACTGCTATGGATGGCGCTAAGCGCGGATGCCAGCCAGAACCTGCGCAAGACCACGTGCCCGGTGTGCAACATGGATGCGAAAGCTGACATCAACGCACCTATACTGGGCGACCAGCACGTCTACGCCTGCGAAATGGCGGGGCATATCGATACGCTACGCAGTGACCCAGTGCGTACTTGACCACGGCGAGCTTCGCAAGTGGTCAGCCTTCCCTGACGATATCTCCATTGTGTTTGCCTATTCAGGGCGCGAATCTGGGCCAGCCGGAGGCTGCCGACATCATCACCGACGAAATCTACAAGGACGCGACCGACATCTCTTGCCCCGTGTGCGGCAAAGGATACAGCCAGCTCACCCACGCAGTACCGTGGATCCCCCAAGGCGCTCAGAAGATTTACACCTGCTCGGAAGAACACGCGCAAATGGTCCACGACGACCCCACAGCGTACATCGCGGCGCAAACTTCGTCTTCGAGCAGCTTCTGCAACTCCGGAGCTGCTGCCAGGCCCATGGGGTCCGTCATGTTCAACGGATTCCAACTGACAATTGGCAGTGATTCGACGTGTCTGCTCCTGCTGTTCCAGTCGTGGGTGCTCTCATCTGCTGTCAAGTACGCGTTCGCGTTCCTTGGCGTCGTGCTGCTGGCCATGTCACTCGAAGGCTTCGGCGAGCTCCGCGAGCACAGCCAGAAGTGGCTAGTGCTCCAGCACGGCGTTGTCGTCACCCAAGCTGACTACGTGTCGCTCTCCACGCCTCACGTCAACAGTGTCAACGGCCTCGAGTCGTCCGCACTGAAACCCGGTCGAGTACTTCCCATTTCGTCCGAAGTCACCGTCATCCGTCGCCTGCCACTGCATTACAAAGCGGTGCTTGCGGTCCTGTACATGGTGCACCTGTGCTTGGGCTACTGGGTCATGCTGGCCGTCATGACGTACGAAACTCTCATGTTTGTCGCCGTGATCGTCGGCTTGGGTCTGGGCTTCGCCGTCTTCAAGGACACAGAGGCCGACACCCTCAGCGGCAGCGTTGACCCCTGCTGCTCCAGCTAAAAACAATACAGTTAAGTAAAAAAATGGGGAATATACTACCGATATAGATAAAACTTAGAGGTATGTTGGTGGGTTGATTCCTCCGGACGTGACTCTGGTCCGCAGGATAAGTGTCCACCAGCAGCAGAAAGAGCAATAGAGAGGGCCGCCAAACGTTGACAAATAACTATCAACGCGGCGCGGGGGAGAGGAGGCCGGATACCTTCATCACCTTGTGGGTAATTGATCCTGGATCCCGCGATCCCGGTGTCACTTCCCCTCCATAACTGAGAGGAGGACGCTAGCACTGGAGGCGACAACCTCCCCCATTTTTCCTGTCAAAAGTTGATACACAGTCGCCCTGCAGTTGGACCCCCGTCGATCCCCCTCCCTCTCTAGCCGCATACTCCGCCTTCCGTCTCGCACAGGACATCGACAGCGCCGCCGGCCCACAGTAAGCAGGGCCGCCAGCCAAGTCTTCGTGCACAAAGTGGCATACATTTTATTGGCCTCAAGAAATACAAAAATGAAAAACAGTTTTTGACCGAAAAAAAGTTTTTCGGAAGTGGTGTCTACCTGGAAGAAAGTCCTGTCTACCCGGAAGTCATCAGGTAGCGTGTGGAGCTCCTCGCTCATAACCCAGCACTTGATAGGGACGAGTAGGACTAGGATGCTGGCAAAGCAGGTGACGCGCGCGCTGCGCCGGCCATCGGCCGTGCGCTTCCTGGCCACGGCCGACGAGTCCGCGGCCAAGGCGCCGGCCGCGGCCCCCAAGTTCCGCAAGAAGAAGACGTTCCAGTTCTCGGGCAAGGACGTGGAGCAGGCCGCGCCCCTCGAGGAGTTCGCGTACCCGGCGTACTGGGACGAGGACTTCCCCAAGGACTTCGACGACGCCATGAAGCACGAGGTGGAGAAGCTGCAGATCTTCGCCGACTTCACGCCGTACCTGGACCTGTCGTGGCAGCAGCAGATCCACCCGGCGTTCGACGGCGCGGCCATCAAGATGACGCTCAACTGCCCGCTCGAGGACTTCGACGAGCGGCTCTTCGTCAACGACAGGAACACGTACGACACCAAGGTGTCCATGGAGATCCCCATGAGCTGCTTCAAGGGCCTCAGCCCCAAGGCCAAGGACGTGGTCGCGCAGCTCGCCGGCCCGCGCTACCACGCCAACAAGAAGATGCTCAAGATCACCGAGGACCGCTACAACACGCGCGTGTTCAACCACAAGCGCATCTGCGACATCCTGCGCGAGCTCACGGAGACGGCGCTCGAGCTCACCAAGGACGAGCAGCCCAAGCCCAAGAAGCAGTAGACGGACGTAGTCTTCGCTTGCCCGCTCGCTCTTTTGGCGTTGCTAGAGAGCACCAGCAGCCATCGCGTGTTGCTATGTTCTAGGCTGCGCGTGTGGCTGCTAGTTGTAAATGCTCGAGGCAATTCAAGAAAGCAGGCAGTCAAGCAGGCAGATATCTCGGATATATACTTTTGGCTCGACATTAGATACTTACCTAGCTTTCTTCTGTTGGTCGACGCCCTCGATGGTTGCGAAGACGTCCGTTATAGTGTGTGTGAACATGGAATCGTGGCGTGTAGATCATAAATTCCTGGCGCGTTCACAATAATACCGGTAAGTGCTTGTACAACACAACGGAAGGACAGTACTTCTCTGTCACACCTGAAAATGCAGTAGAACCCTCACGATTTATTTGATGTGGTCCACATATGCATTTTGATTAGTTAAAAACATCTCAAATAACTTTAAGCTTACCGACTTCTAAATCGTTTCGCGCTTTCGACTACACACAGCATACGTACATGCGGAACCAGCGACGTAGCAAAGTGTCCGTTGAACTTTCCCACGCCGAGCTGGCGGCTCGAGGTATAGATGCCTCCGCAGCGGTTGCGGCCGCTGTTGAGGCGTTTCCTCTCAAACCCCTGGCAGCGTGGGCAGTTTGGAAGGATCGCTAGTCAACACCTGCCAATTACGTCCAGAAGCTTCTGTAGCCATTTAATAAAATGTGGGTACATATTTTCTTAATCTTAGGATTTGGAGCTAGTCATTCCTGATTGGTTATAAATATAGTCGAGAACGCTGGATCGAAGCCAATTAAAACAGCGTTGTCACTCGCGTAAAACAGCCCTTACAGAGACCGTGCCAATTTATTTGAGTGCGCAAGATGACGACGAATACGCACATACTTTTACATCACAACAAACATGAATCCTCGACGAAGTACGGAGGAAAATGTGATCACCGCTGACACGGGGCGGCAGTGATCTCATTGTATCCCCGTTAACATTGGTACTGGCGATCTGAAAAAAATAGAGGACGAAGCTATCGTTGCGAGCTATACAATGCTGCTTTCAGCTATCTAATCTGACCACTACTTCTCGAGATATCGATGATTAAAAATTTACTGTCCACAAGTTTCACGCAAATTGGAACCCTTCATACGCTTCGACACGTAGTAGTCGTTCCTCATTCACTTACTTCTGTGTGTGCGAACTCCGATCACCGTTGCACGAGCCTACAGGGACTTTTGGCCTAGGGCCGAGGCCTTCGCACGGCCGACAGCGCGAGTGCACCACTTTCACGCGGCCAGAACATCTCGGTACACACATCTTAGTGGTTCCCCGAGACAAGGCGGACAAAAGAAGTCTGCGCCATCAACCAGAAAGGCTACTCAATCTGTCTCAACAATACCGACCATTTGAAAACTCGGCTTACCGAGGTCATACTCGTACTCCCGTTGCCACATGGCCACCTCGTCACGGTATTTGCTTCAGGGTAGTTCAAGATCACATACCCCTCGCTGAACTGGAAGTACATATAGTCCTCGTCGGGAAAGCCGAAGTTACGTCGACGCTGCGGGTGGAGCTTGTTGCTCTCAACCATTAAAGCCATGATGGAAGCTGGAATGAGATCGCTCACTACAGTGACGAGGGTGCCGTACTAGGCTTGACCGAAGCTCTGATATTCCTCAGTGTGATCATTATCAGACCTGCTGTCCGGATCCGTTCTCTCTGCTAACATACCGCGGTCGATTCGACAACTTGCAACTATCACTTTGTTTCGTTAGACCCCCACTTTTACATTTCACGCTGCTTTATACTTTGAACTCAACCTTGTGACGCTGCTGTCAGCTAGATGACTAGATGACTCCGCTAAAACCAATTGCTAAAACGACGACGATACCGCGACCTCCGGCACGGTGAATTTCCCGTAAGCACAACGCGTGACTGTCAACTGAATCGAAAACAGCAAAAGCCAATTGGAAAAGCAACCTGCGGAAAAAATCGGTCCCGCAAGTTTTACAAAAGCGTGTTGTCCGTGTTCTCCCAGAGCCCGAAGGAAGTGACGGCAAGCTCGTCATGCCGAACCAGCTTTGCCCTTTAGTGGTCAGTTGATAGTGTTAGCTAGATTGGTCGGAGCTGAGCTTCATTTCGAGGGACCAGGAACTTTTTGCGCCACAAGATCTTAGTTTGGAGACCTTGATTGACCACAGGTTCTCTCCTCACAATAATCAGTAATTGCTCGTGCCATCAATCTCGACAACGTGATGGAAACGCACGTAGTGGAGGTGTGGCCAGTATGGTGTTCACTATTGGAGAGACGACGCAATGAAGACTTTAAGATTGAGAGGCGTGCTTATCGGTGGTTTTGCCGTCGTAATGGAAATTGAAGATAGCAAGACCGTCGGTGACTTAAAACTGAGGTTGAGCTACTTCCGGAAGCCCGAGCTGCAGACGTTATTCCTCGCGAAGAAGGACGGCAAGTGGCTGTCCAGTGGGGATGACGACGTGCGAGCTCTGATGAAGAATAAAATTTCGAAAGCGATGGAAGAGGTTCTGGACGATAGCAACATCCTCGACCCGCAACGTCCACTCAGCGACTTCAACTTTCCTTGTATTGAGGATGACAAGGGAGGAAGGAATGATGAAAACTTTATCGTGGAGCCTCTGTACAATCGGTCCTGGTACATGCGCGAAATCAAAAGAACTCTCGCTCGGGCCGAACAGCGTCGTACAGGTTCGTCGAGTTCAAAATGTGATGTAAGGTCGATTGGTTCAGCTAATCTGAGTGTTGATGTTACGGCAGAACGTCACGCAAGGGCTGAGCAGCGGCGAAATGGTTGGTTTGAGGTCAGAGTGTAAGGAGGGTTGCTTTGGCTAATCAAAGTATTGATGCCATGGACAGAGCGGTTGATTTTGTGGTGTGAAGCACGCTCGGCTGTGGGGAAGTGGATCTCGTCATATTTCCCCTCGAAAGCGAATTCACCGAAGAAGGCCCCGTGGCTCTGAGGCAACTGTGGGCGCAGTTGGGCAGTTCGATCTTGCAGAATGGGTCGGTAGTAACCCAAGCCACGGGTTTATCCCCTGTCGGACAGACTCAAACGTTCATAAATGGCTATGGACCATAAATATACTACCAAGTGGCCGCCCATTTCCAGTAATGTGTACTCAACTGCCACCCTGCAGTTTTAGTGCGTCCGAAGTCCCCTGATCCGTGTATATTTCGAGCAGCTGCCTAACATGATCGCGCAGCACGTCCATTTGGCCCCCGCTACATGTAGCACTTCATGAAGAACGAAGGGAGTGAAGGCTGACTGCACCAACAAGCCAAGAAATCTGTCTTGGTCGACTGTCCAACTCCTATCAAACTTGTGCGTTGGCCGTTGCACGAGTGCCCAGCTCACCTCTAGCCGACACTGCTGAAACACTGGGCGTGTCCTCTCGTAGTCACGGTCACGGTTTTGTGGTGGCCTGAGAAGACCATACTGACTCGGCTGGCGAAGACCCCCTCCCAGTTAGTATGGAGGCCTTCGTGGCAAAACAGCATGTGGTCCACCTCGACCCTTCAGTCACGCTGCAACGCGCAAAAGCAGAGCATGCTTCGCTTTTCGTATCGAGAAAGGCAACACGCCCAGCCGAGGTGTGCCTAGCCTCATTCAGCGATTTGCAGCTTGGTGGGCAACTTCTCCAGACATCGCACACACAACAGGTACGCCGGCGAGATCACGCTGTAATGGAGCGAGCACTGACTGCTGCGGGTGTGCTTACCACAGTGTTGAAGACGGAATCGTGCTATGCGTGCTGCAGCACCTGAAGATGACGCTGGTCGTGTCGCTGGAGATGGCCCTGGCCGTTCTGCTGGATTTAGTTTCACTGCCGGCGATGACGTTCACGCTACTGGAGGTGACACCGGAAGTTCCGAACGCAACTGGTGGCGGCCGTGGCGACTACTGCTTGGAGGAGATGCTGGTGGCGCTACTGAAGATGATGTTCCTGGAGGTGGCGCCGATCTCCCGACTGAAAGTGATCGTGGTGGTCACTCCGAGCCCGCGGCTGGCTTGAAGATTCCTTGCATCGTTGCTGGCGTGGGGTACACGTTTGTCGCGGAAGTTCCGGATGGTGCTGAGGCTCAGCACTTACGCGAGGTGGCTTGGCGGCGATGCTTAAGAAGATCGACGGCTCAGCTGAAGTGGCTCGTGAGGTTGGGGACGACGACATGGGCAGTGTGACGGCCAACGATACGAGATGTTTCGTCGTGCGGTGCCTGGATTGGTGTCTGGTGCAGTGTCTACTGGGCTGGCTCAACGAGTTTCTGCGCCGGTGCCTAGCTGGATGTCAGTCGTGCCTAACGTGGTGCGATAGGTGGTGCCCAGTCCGGTGCGTATGCAATTGCCACCCGCGTTGCCGGTGGTTGCGGGCTGCGGCTGAGCGGATCGTGACGTTTTGGAATGGAGATGAAGTTCCTGAGTGCGCGCTCTACTGGGCAAGAGGCCCGAAATGGCTTTGCATGAGCCAGTGGTTGTCGCTAGACGGCTCGGTTGGTAAGGCGCTCAAGCGGGGCGTGATTCCGTGGTGACTCAAATGGAATTTCATGACGCACGTGATGATAAATCATGAGGCAAGATTTTCCGCGGAGAATTTCCCTGCACACATCGACCCTGAGAGCTACTACGTCATCGTGAGGAACGTTCCAGCGCACGTCGAGAAGGCCTTGCGTGTGGCAACTAGGAACGAGCGGCGCTACCACAAGTTGGTGCATGCCCGAGGTTCGTATGCTTTTTGAACAGTTTGCTTATGTGAGTCTCATATACTTGTGCTTGGTTAACGATATGTAGGACAAGCTCGCCTGTATGCTCTGTTGAGCTGGATTTGTGCTGTTCTCACCCTCGGCTTTGGAATCTACCTATACGAAATCGACGCGAATTTAGTGCGCGGCTCTACGTCGGACTTCGACAATCGTCGTTTGTGGACTGTGGGCATCGAACGTGCTGCATTCTACGCTTTCCCGTTGCTGGGCAGCGTCATGCTGAAGCTGAAGATAATTTACAGCCCAAAGTTTGACAGCCTCAAGGACAAGATCCACTATTCGCTCGCCGCTCTCGTGTGATGCTGCACCCCAACAAGGAAGCATCAACCAGCCGATGGTAAGAAGTACATCGAGTACTCTGAGATAGCTGGTAACAAATCGTATTCGCACTTCAAAGTACTATTTTTTAAGTAACGCGAGTCTTCTTCTTGTTTTTATTTATTTAACTCCACTGCCTCTCAACACGTTGGCTACCAAGTTCATAGCGTCGTGGTTGACGAGGGCACAATGACCAACGCCTGAGTTGCGTATCGCCGACGTCGTCAACATCATTTCGGCGACAAACAATGAAAAACAGTAGGCACTCCCTGAGCTGGAACTGGTTCACCACGAGCCAACTGATCGAAATCCGACACCCCAGATTGGAGCCATTTACCGCTCCTTTTGGCCAAGTAAAAGTTCATCTCGTCGATCGGGCAGCCAAACCCCTTGCGGGGGTCCCGCAGCTTCGCCTTCAGCTCTTCGATGGTCTTGTCTCCTTCAATGTCAACGTGGAACTTCCTCGCCGCATCCACCACCACGACCGGCACGATTGTCATATTTGGGTGCCTTTGACGCTCCCGTTTGGTGCGTTCAACCACGAGCTTTCTCTCTCGGCGCCGCCACGCCTCTCGTCGTCGTTTCACCAATGCCGATACCATTCTTGGATGGATAATTCGGAAATGAGGAAGATGGCAGAGCTCACTACAGAGAATCTACAGTTGGCAGGTCAAGAACCCGTCAGTTGCTTCCGAGATTTCTCTATTTTCTACTGTAGTCGTTCAGTTGAGTCGCTCCTGCTCCTGCTAACTCGCTCGCTCCATGGGCGTCGGCTGCAAACTTGGCACGTTCACGCATCGTCTGATCTCTTGCTGGCACTCAGATGCGTGTATCGCATCGTTCGACGGCATCGACGCTGTCCGCATCGGGGCTTCACGGGCCAGAGGCGTCGCAGGACACCACACCTTCGTGGCAGATTTCCACTCCTCGAAGGACGGCAAAGACGGCATTGTAAAGTTCCTCCACTGGCAATGATACTCTCACGGGTCTGAATCCCAAGAGAGTAACGTGAAAAAGTTACCCGTGAAGTTGCAGTCAGCATGTTTCATTCGGTAGCGAGTCGCGACAACTGCAGCATAGCTTCAAAATACCTTGCAAACTCATGGGCTTTACAGCTCGAGTACAGATCGGCAACGAAAAACACAAACAGGCAATTCCTTTCTCGAGGCGCTTTATGAGGGGGTTGGTTGTCGGGCCTTCCATGACTGCCGCCCGCTACTTTCTGAGTTCCGTGGGTGCCTCCGACGACAAGAGCGAGGGGGCCGGACGTTTGGAGCGCCGCCTAACCAAGCTCCATGCGCCAAAAGGTGTCTCTAAGATCCCGCTGCTGGGTCACCTACTACAGCGCGTACGTCCTTGCCGCTCGCTCACTCGTCCATCTGCCCCTCGCCGTCTCCCTGCAATGGCCGCTCGCTCTGCTCTCTCTTGACTCTTGAGCGAGCGCTGCCTAAATCCTGCACACGTAAGAACTGGACTGCGTCACGTAGCGCACCCATCGCTTGTACGTGTAGTTCGGGTGGCGCGCGTGCTCCGGAATGCGCAGGTAGCGCACCTGCAGACTCGAGGTATTGTACATGGGGATCTCAAAGTTCATGCTCACGGGGCCGATCTCGCGCCGCACGTGCGGGCTGGGCTGGCCCAGCGTGATCTTGGCGCGCAGCGTGAGTTCTGTGCCGCCCGTGAAGCGCTTGATGGCCCAGCGCACCTGGTTCTCGTTCTCGCGGTACTCGGCCAGCTGGCCCGCCGCGCTCTTGCCGATATCGCACGAGACGGCCACGGTGGACTGCGGCACGGGGAAGCGGATGATGACGTTGGCGCCGTAGTTGTTCTCGGGCATGTCGGCGCGGATCTTGAGCACCATCTCGATCTTGGTGGGGGACAGCTCCTCCACGAAGGGGAAGATGCGGAAGGGCGCGCGGAAGTCGCCCGTGATGCGGTAGTTGATGACCGTGAACTCTCCGTCGGGCGGCTGGAAGATGAGCACGCGGTCGCGCTCGAACTCGTCCAGCTGCACGCAGTCGTGGAAGTTGCAGTCGTCCAGCACCACCTGTCCGTACTGCCTGGCGCCGGTGTTGCCGATGACCAGGTCCTCGTTCAGCGCGAGGCGCAGCTCCGGGTTACCCGAGAGGTAGCTCTTGAGCTGGATGCGGCCCTCGATGGACGCGTTGAGCATCTGGCCGCCCGAGCTGAAGACGACGTTGAGGCGCTCCAGGATGTCGCAGAAGAGCTCGTTCTCGTCCTGCTTCTTGGAGCTCTGGCCGGCCGTGGCCACGGGCTTCTTGACGGCGCTGGCCGCCTTGATGTTGGAGCTGCGGTTCATGAACTTGGAGCTGGCCTTGGGCTTGGACAGCACGGCGTCGCCCACGAGGATGGCCTCGTTGTGCACGTGCACCTTGAGCCCCTCGGTGCTCGTGTCCTGCGCGAAGCCGTAGTCCAGCGTCTCGTCCAGCAGCTCGTAGCACAGGATGAAGTTCTTGCGCAGCGTCTCCTCGCTCAGCACGCCGCAGTAGTCCTTGAACACGCGGCACAGGCGCGTGAGCAGCTCCAGGATGTAGCTCGGGCTCACGTTGTAGCGCGTCGTGGCCACGAAGTACAGCCCGTTCTTCTTGACGAACAGGTAGTTGACGCCGTCCACGTTGAACGTCGGGGGCGCGTCCCCCTTCTCCCAGAACTTGACCTTGCGGAAGAAGATCTCGGCCGAGTTGCTCTCCACGTCGCCCCGGAAGTCGTTGAAGATGATGGTGTCGCCGCGCGTGGACAGGATGTAGAACTGCGAGATGGACGACGACATGGCTGCCTGCCTGCCTGCCTGCTTGGGTGCCACGTCAAAAGCTCAGTTGGGTTATCGCCCGCCCGCCTCCCCTCGAACAAAGGCAAGATCGAGCGCCACGACGCGACGGCTAGAAGAACTGCTGCGCGTTCTATGGGGGATGGAGGTCCCTCTAAGAGAACGACTTTGGATGGGACGACCCCCGGGATGGAATACTCGGAAAATCAGATCCCGAATTTTGGGAAGCGAGGTGGTAGGTTTTCGAGTGCGTGACGACTTGGGGATTGCAGCTTGGTGACTGGGCCGAGTCAGCGGAGGCCGCTGATAGTGCAGACGTTGATATTCTTTTCGCCCGACATGGTAAAAGTTGGTGAGCAGTTTGCGGCGATGGCTTTGACTTTGAGAGATCGTTGCGTTGGCACCACCGGTGTGTGTGAACCACGGCACGACCTCATGATCTGCACGATGTGCTTTTGGCGCAAATGGTGTGTATGTTCAGTATTCATTGGTGATCGCTTTGAAATCGTGCTCACGGTTGTACAAGACCTCCATGAGCTTGTGGTTAAGAATGAAAGGAACAGAGATTGATGAATCGGTGCTACTTTCGTCGGTGTTTTCGCAGGCGCCTCGAGAGTTGGCCTTACTGCCCGTTATTGCATTGCTGTCACGGCAACTCAAGCATTTTTACGTCAAGATAAACGGATCACTTTCAGCATGTACGCGTTAACCCGACGACCAGGTCGACAACCTGGTTTCGGCGATTCGGCCCCCGAAAGGTTACAGTCACCGTACGTGCAACTACAACCGCAAATACTATTCTTTTGTCGCCAAGATCTTCACCCTGCACCAATCGCCACCTTCCACTCGCTGTCAACCAGGCATTCTCAAAGTAATGCGAGCGAGGAAGGGGGGGGGGTACACGAATTCATCGTCCAAAACAGCCCTTTCCGAAAAAACTTGTGCCAGCTCCCCGACCAAACCCGCCTCTGCAATACCCAACTCCCCCTTCATTATTATTTCCAACCCGGGTCGCCGCCATCCAGACCCGAAAAGAAACCTCGCGACCATTTGACTGGACGGATCGAAGTACCAAGGTACCAAGCAGATAGGAAGGGCGCCCGCCTACTTCGTCGCCCGCCATGCCGAGCAGCGAGGACGCTGTGCGCCCCACCAACACGTGGACGCTGGAGGAGTTCGGCGACCTGGTGACGGCCTGGGAGCTGGCGGCCTCGCGCCCGCGCGACAGCAACTCGCAGACGCTGCACGACGCCGTGTTCAAGCACTTCGTGGCGCTGCGCGGCGGCTCCACGCGCCGCAACAAGGCCGCGCTCACCAGCAAGCGCAGCGCGCTCAAGTTCTCGTACCTCTACGTGCGCGACTTCGACGCGGCCCAGCGCGCGGCCAAGCAGCCGCCCTTCTTCGCGCTGCCGGCCGCGCGCCGCCTCGAGCTGGCCAGGGACTGGAAGCAGCAGAACTCGAGCGTCGTGGAGCTCACGCCGGCCATGTTCCAGGCGCTCGCGCGCATCGTCAGCAAAGGTGGCGACGATATGTCGCCCATGCCCGCGCGGCGGACGGCCCGCCCCAAGGAGGACGCGCCCGCCCGGGCCGAGCCGCGGCCCACGCGCACCAAGACGGCCACGGGCAAGAGGAAGCAGCCGGCCCCCGTGGCCCGGCCCACCAGCAGCCCGTGGTCCACCGAGGAGATGATGCAGCTGGTCAAGGCCTGGGGCATCGCGGCCCAGGCCGTGTGCGACAGCACGAGCAACGAGCCCATGTCCATCGTGCACGAGACGTTCCGGCACTTCGAGCTGCTGCAGGCCGGCGGCAACGTGCGCAACCTGTCGGGCCTGGCCACGCGCCGGCGCGTGCTCAAGCAGTCGTACTCGAGGATCTCGGCCTTCGACAAGATCCAGGAGATGAACGGCGACCCCAAGTTCACGGACCTGCCCGCGGCCACGAGGCAGAACGTCATGCGCTCGTGGAAGAACGCCAACCTGCTGGACCTGTCCAAGGAAATGTACGCGGAGCTGGACAAGGTCATCTCGCTGGACACGCGCGCGGTCGCGCTCGAGGACATGCGGCGCGCGAGAGCCGGCAACGCCAAGATCTCCAACGCGAAGGGTGGGCGCAAGCCTGGCCGACCGTCGAAGCGGCAGCGCGGGATGAGGTTTCTGCAGGACAGCAAGGAGGACGACGAGGACTCGAGCAGCGTCTTCTCGTCGCAACCGCCGAGCGTCGTCGACGACAGCGAAGAGGAGAAGGCCGCGATCCCCATGATGGTAATTCAAAGCCGCGTGCAGGCCGACAGAGAAGAGAAAACGAGCGAGCCGGCTGCTAATGAGAAGGCCCCTACTACTGCTCCGGTTCGTGAGGAGGACACGCGCGCGAAGCAGACGGCAACTAGTTCAGCGAACCATAATCGCAACACAGCAACAATCCCTGCTAAGGGCAACACAAAGACTACCGCCGGCACAGAAAAGAGTGCAAAACCTTCTCCGGCGCCTGAGGTCGCTGCTCCAAAGTCTTCCGGCCCAGTTACTGGATTGAATCGCAACGAAGAGAAAACGCCCGCTGTTGCTGACAAAGCGAAGAAAGCGGCCCCTTCAGTGTCGAGCAAGAATTCCGTGCCGGAGAAGGCACCGAAGCCTCCAACCATCTCTGTCGAAGTTGCCGATGCGATTAAGCCTGCTGTACCGAAGACTGCTGAAGCTGACAAGAAAGAAGACCCCAGTACTAGCGCTGTGCCCACGACGGTGCCGAAGGGACCCGGACGAGGAGGACACAGAAAGCGCAAGGTGAACCCTGATGGGCCGAATGGCCACTTGTGGGAGAACAGAGAGCTCGACATTCTTATCAAAGCTTGGGAGAAGGCAGCGATTCTCGTGTGCAACAGCGACCCCGCTGAACGATTGTCGCTCAACAGGGAAATGTACCGTGAGTTCGTAGAGATGCAGGGTGGATCGTCAGTGCGAAACAGTACAGCCCTCGCAGCGCGGCGGAGCTCGTTGAAGTTTTCCTACGCGCACATCAAGTCGTTTAACGAGTCGCAGAAGGCGAAGGGCGAGCCGTCATACCATGAAATCCCTGAAGGCACTCGAATGACACTGCTGCGCTCTTGGAAGAACCGCAACTCGGTTGACCTGACGAAGGAGATGTATGATGGGCTGGGGCGTATCCTTGCTATGGACGAAAAGCTTGCTGAGATCCGAAGTCTCCGCCCACCTCTTCCTCCACCCGAGAAGATGGCCAAGAGCCCGAGGGACTCCGCGGATGCCAGGTCAGCAGCAGACAGCGTTTCGAGTACGGCAAAGTGGTCGATTGAGGAGTCGTCCGATTTGATCAAGGCGTGTGCAGATGTGATGAATGTTCCGTCGGACAAGGAGCAGACAGCCACCGAACGCGAGTCTTTGATCTACGACGCTTTTGTGGCTCGCCGAAAGAACGCAGGAGACACAGATACTCCGATCCGACGGGACTTGAAGGGAATGGCGCAGCAGTGGCGGTACATTCTTGCTTCGTACTCCTACATCAAGGCGTGCAATGACAACCGCGCTGAGGCCGACAGTCCGACGTGGTTTGACATGTCCCCCGTGCAGAAGCGAGCGTACCAGCAGTGCACGAACGTCCCGCTGAGGTTTGTGGACCTCGACGCCGATATGTTTGCGTTGGTCACTGAGACCTCGTTTGTGGGAGTGGCGGCTCCGGCTCCTGCTCCGACGTTGCCGTCGCCTGGAGCGAGAAGCACATCGGACGGTATTTCTCTTCGTCCTCGCTCAACCCGCAAGAGGACGGAGGCGTTTTGGTCGTCAGACTCGGAGTCTTCAGTGGTGTCGTCACACACGAGGCGTGCCAGCAAGGACTTTACAGCACCCGTGGCGAAGAAGGGCAACAACTGGCCGGTGAAGGAGTTGTGGAATTTGATTCAGGCCTGGGAAGAAGCGGCGGGGGCGTCGAAGAGTGGCAAGCTGACCGCTGCCCTGGATGCGACGTTTGACAAGTTTACGAAGCTACAGCAGGGCCCTTCCAATCGGAGTCGGTCTATCCACAGCGTTCGGAACAAAATGATCGCATTGAAGTCCTCGTTCGCAGGCATCTCGGAGTTCATTGCTGAGCGAGGCGATAGTGCTGCGTGGTTCGAGATGACGCCGGACCAGAGATTGGCTGAGATTCGTGGCTGGAAGAACAAGACGATCATGGATCTCAACAAGCAGATGTTCGATGCGCTGGCGCGAATTCTCCACAGGAAGACAAGTGGGGCGTACGAGAAGCCTGGGAAGCGTAAGGGGGGAAGACCGCCGAGGTCTTCACCTGGTGGAGCCGATGCGAAGGAGCATGACGATAAAGGGCACTCAGGGCAGAAACCGGAGAAGTACGTGGCTGCGAGCTGGAGCAAGGAAGAGCTGCTTCTGCTTGGCGAAGCGTGCGGCGAATTGCTGGAGGGTCGGCGGACGCGGCGTTATGTCTTCGAGGAAGAGAAAGATCGGCTATACCGTCGCTACGAGGACCTTGGAGGCACCAACTCCTTGGCGGCGGTTGTCGGCCTTGCACGGTTTGTGCTGGACTCGTACGAGTTCATCTACTTCTACGACCAGAAGGCAGCCGAGACCAACTCGTTGTCCTGGTTCGAGCTTGATCCGTCCGACCGAGACTCTATTGTGGCGAGAATGAGCAGGGCATACCGCAGCTTCAACGGCTTGAACACTGTCGACAAAGAAATCTACGACGTTATTGACGCCATCGATGCCGAGATTCGCTTGAAGCTGGGTGAGACGAAGAAAAAGACGTACAAGCCCCCGAATGACGCGTCTTCCTCGCGTTACGTCGACATTGAAGTCGTCGTCGACCGCTGCACCTTCATCAAGCGAACACGCCCGGCCCTCAAGACTCCAGTCGCCCCAGCAGTCCCCACGCAAGTGCCCGAGCCTGCATCAGACGCAGACGCGGATTCGTCTTCTTCGGAATCATCGGACGACGAAGCTGCCAGTGACTCGAGTGCTCCGTCAGTAGTCGTGAGGCCTCCTCCGGTCACGCAGCAACGTGCCTCCGCTCCGGTGGCGCGTTCTCCTAGGCGGGTCATTGTCCGCCGGGGTTCGGATACCATTCGCGTGCGAGCAGCGCCACCTCCGTCTCGGAAACGCGCTCGGGACGTCGACACTTATGTCGGTGCTGGTAGTTTCTCGACCTTGTGCATCGCGGAGATCATCCAGCAGCAGAGCACCAAACTGGAAGCCGCCGTGAAGCGTTTCCGCAAGGATAGCGCGGACGCGCGCAAGGAGCACCACGCGTTCCTGTTGCAGAAGATTCAAGACAGCTTCCCGGTCGACTCGGGCAACGGCTCGTTCTTGGAGCGTGTTGCTGAGCGCCAGGGACAGACTTTGGTGGATATCTTCCAGCGACTTCAGGAGCAGCGCGATGCCGAGAGAGCGAAGGACGAGGAGCTGATGCGTCAGTTGTTTGGCCGCACCACTGGCCGGACTTAAGCGCTCAGGAGCATTCCTGCGCGATTGATATGTATTGAATGCTGGAGCGAGAAGTAGCAGGTTTCCAAGGTACAAGGCGTTCCATTCATTAAGCTAACACTGTTGAGCTGTATTCGTCCGTGGGTTTGCGGTGTGTGCTCACGCCTTCGTATAGAAAATCGCCCCGCATGTTGTGTGAGCTTGCACCTGTGCGATGTTCATCACTGCAGGCGGCTGGAGACCTCCAGGGAGCGCGATAGGGCCAACACTGATCCCCACGACGCATCCACTGATGTGCAGTCCCTGAAACGTGTCTGCGAAGAGCTTGGTCACGTCCTTGGCGTGGACTGGATCCTCGACCTCATTCAGCACTCCAGCTATCACGAGTGCTCCTAACGCTCGCTCGTTCGCCGAAGACAACCTCTCTTGTGTGCTTCGAAGACTCTTTGTTAGTGCTTGAGATGTCCGTGCCGAGTGATGAGAGGCGAGAAGTCCGTACACTCCTTCTTCCCAGTGCAGGCCAGGCTCCGACATCATCAAGTTGTTGAACGCTGGAACCACAAACTCCAGGCGTTCGATGTGCGCGGCAGGTAACGTTGGGTTGGTCTCCGTTACGCGGCAGCAGTTGAAGAGATGTTCAAGTGGGGCGCTTTCTCGACACGAGAAGATGTTCATCGTGCGATTTTCCTGGTGGATAGCAGTCACCTCGGCTGGATCCAAGAGGTCCATGATGTGGACTTCTTCCGAAGCGAGCGTTGATACGAGGTCGTACATCATTATCTGGCTGGAATTGTCCAAGGCGCTGGCACGCTCGCATCGGAGAACTGGAGTAATCGGGTGGTATCCACTCGAGGAGAACGCCTTCACGCCGACTTTGCCGTGCAGTCGAAGCAGCAACGTCGACGAGAACAGTACCTGACCCCGTGGACGCGGCCGGCTTGTTGCCTGCTGCTTGGCACCTCTGTTCTTCAGAGGCTTCCGGTCTTGAACCCCACCACTGTACGCAGCGAGAGGAGCGCACCTGTCTACGAGAGGCGACACGGCGCCGACAACCGCAGCTCCAGGGTGCCATTCCTTGATCGCTGGTAGAAGGTGACGCGCGCTGCGGTCGTTCCCTCCGAACATCAAAAACGAGGGCGTGTCTTGCTCTCCCAGAGCAGTGAAGGGGTTCTCCAGCTCAATCCCCCCGTGGTGAGACCGTCTCAGGTCCTTCCTGTCGAACTCCGCCATCTCCAACGTGGTCTCCGGCAAGTGAGCAATAGACACCGACAAGGTCACGGCACTAGAGTCGGTATTCTCCTCTAGCTCCACCTCTTCTTCAGGTTCTCGTCCTCCTAACACTGCGTTCATAGTGAACAGTCCGACGACTTTACACCTCGGAGGCAGCAACTTAGCTTCCTCCATCGCTGCAATGGCCTCCTCCCAGTAACCACCACTATACCACGGACTGCAGTCCTTACTAGCAGCCGAGAGCAGCACCAAGTCGGGCGCGAAGCGGGTGTCCGCCCAGTTCAAGTGGTTGGCCCGCAGCAGCTCCAGACTCTCGGCGCCACTGGCCGCCGGGCCCAACACCGTCGACCGCCACTCTGGGAGCGACGTCTTGGCCTCCGTCACCACTTTTCTCCACTCGGAGCACACGCAGAGCATTGCGTCCGTGTCTCTCCATGTCAGGAACGGCAGCAGTAGCGCCCACAGGTCGGCAGGCAGAGAGGTTACGCCACTTTGAGGCGCAATAACTTTGTGACCACGAGGAGTTGAGCGATTGCGATTGCGTGACGACGTAGACTTGGACTGGTTCTTCCCGGTCACGCGGCGTTGGGGACCTTTGGGGCGCTGCGGTGCACGGTGCGACGATCGGCGCGAGCCGCCTCTGTTGTCCGCCATGATGATGTTGATAAAATGTACGTGCGACTCGGACTGGTTACGCTGAGATGGTTACGGTTGGGACCAGCTGCTATGCTGGACGAGTCGAAGGTCTCCGCTTGGACATCAAGCGCCTCCACGTCACTGCGTGTACCGTGCGCCAAACCAATGCATGGATGGTGGTGTTGTGCAGGCTACTATATGATTTAGGTGGGTATTGTGCCCAACGCGCGCTACTCACGCTGGAAAATAATATCGATAGTTTCGGAAGCTTCCTCTGTGGCCGAAGGGAGCATTTCGCGACGAGATCGTTGCTTTGACAGGATACTGATGCAGTTGCTCCTAGGTGTCTCTGAGCCTGGTCATCAGTCACCTGCGTCGCTGCAGCCTGCAGGATCGTCGCCGATGCGTTTTCGGCTGGGACTTGACAGAGATGATTGCGACTTTTGAGAGCTCGAAAAGCAAATGGCGCTAAGGAGATGGCAGCTTTGCATCTGTTGGGTTGAGCGCTTCTGCAAGCTGCTGCATGCATATACACCGGTACTTCACTGCACGATACTAAAGCAGAGCCCATCGGCGTTGCGTGGCTGCAATGGTGGAAGATTGGCAGCGCTCTATGGTTGTGAGTTCCTAAGTTAGTGCTGTAACAAGGCCGACACTGTCCCCTACAGAAGATCACCACCCGGTCGTCAATCGAGTGCTTGCTTGCTTGTCTGACCCACCGTCAAGCTTCAGCGTGTCGGCCAAGGCGACTGAAAGGCTTCTTGTGGACGGATCTCTGTACAGCTGACTAAGCTGCGAGGGGGACGGGGACGCCAATATCTTCTCGGAAACAGGCTGGGGCGTTGCAACGCCGCAGAGATGGTCCGCGGTTCGCCGCGTCCAGGTGACACGCACGCTTCCTTGACGTCTCTTTCGTCGCGGCAGCACACACTGGGTCAGGGTCTCCACTCCAGTCCACTCGACGGCCACAAGCTCTTGGCATTGTCGATTTCGCATCCTCGACCACCAAGCTCCATCTGCTTCGGACACTCGTATAAGAGAGCCCAGCCGCCCCCATGACTGAAGAGATCTCTGATGTCAAGGCCTTCGCTTTGAGCGCCGCCGTGCTCTACATCAAGTTCCTCGTGTGCACCATGATCCAGGGTCGCAAGGCCTTCGCGGCCGGCACGCGCATGGCCGAAGACAGCAAGCTCCCGCAAGCCAAGAACGCGCCCAAGCAAGGATTCGCCGACCTCACAGACGACCACGTCCGGACCGCAATTGACGAAGAGATGCGCTGGAAGCGGATCATCCAGAACGACCTTGAGTCCATGCCCATGGCCTACGTCGTCTTCTGGAGCGCTATCAGCGTCGGGGTGAGCTCCAGCCTGACGACAGCGCTGCTTCTGGTGTATACGGTCGCTCGCGTCGGACACACGGTCGTGTACTCCCAGAGTCTGCCCTACGCTCGCATGGTGTTCTGGATCGTAGGCATGGCGTGCATCGTTATTGGCGCCGTGGCTAGCGCGCTAACTGCGTTGAAGTAGCTTATAGAGCAGCCTCGTGGGCTGTACGGATAGAACGCGGCGTGCGCGCTGCAACCTTATATCTAAATGAACGTACGTCTTGTGTTGAATCGATTGGGAGGACTGCGAGTTAGCTGCATCACATGAACTTCATGTCATGAAGGGGTCAACTCGTTCAATTGCAGAGTAGACGATCCATCACGATAGTCCGCTGTGGATTGACTTCACCGAGAAGGACACCCGGATACAATACAGTGAATCTCCAGCGCCCGAACCGAGCCAGGATAGCCTAGCCACGGGAGGCTGCATGGACATACCGGTATATATGAAGTTGAAGCGCGAATGCCGAATACACTCGCGCATTGCGTGCAGAGACTCGCTGGGATCCGAGGTCAGGCACATGATCAGGCGGGCATGGGGGCCCAGCTCTGCGCGCTCGCCTCGGTGGCCGCATCGCTAAGATCTGCGGGCCCATTCCTCAATCGGTCGTCCACGTGTCAAGTCGAGTCAACTTCCAACATGCTTGGTGCCCTCTCCGACGTCAACGTCTTCGGCCTCACGGCCTCCGTGCTCTACGTCAAGTTCCTGGCCACGTCCATGATCCAGGCGCGCAAGTCGTTCGCGGCCAACACGCGCATGGCCGAGGACAAGCAGTTGGTGTGCGCCATGGGCATGTCGTCCGACCTGGACGAGAAGGCGCTCAAGGTGGCGCTCGACAACGAGCAGCGCTGGCGGCGCATCGTGCAGAACGACCTCGAGTCCATCCCGCTGGCCTTCCTCGTCTTCTGGGGCGCCATCCAGAACGGCGTGAGTGCGGACCTGACCAAGACGCTCATGGTGGTCTACGCGACGGCCCGCCTCGGACACACGATCACCTACGCGTCGGGAGCGGCGCGCAGCCGCATGGCGTGCTGGATGTCGGGCACCGCCTGCGTCCTCACGGCCGCCGCGAATATCGCCATGGCCGTGCTCGCCTAAGACAGTCTCGAGCTGCAGCAGCAGGTAGGATCTGCTAGTAGTCGAGTCCACCGTGACGTACGAATCCAATGTTAGTGTTCACCCAGCGTCACCTCAGCTCGTATCATCGCATCAAGGTTCATCCCATTGCCAGAATGAACACACACGTCAGGCGCGCGTCAGGAATAGCTACCACCTGCCAACAAGAACGATTGTTGGCAATAACGTCATACTGCTTGGCCGTTGAACCACTGCCGCAAGACGCCCATGACTGTTCCTGTCATCTCGCAAAAGAATATATTCATCCCCACAGAGTATTGTTGCTTTGCTGACTGCGATATGCCTGCAACTTGAAACGTTCACGGTAACTGGACAACATTGCATCCCAGCTTGAAACGGACCTGTTGGGAGTCAGGCATTTGCATCCCCAGCGGAAAGGGCACTGCACCTCGTCATTCCAGAACTTGCAGGATCAACAAAACAGCAGTTTACTTCACTAGTCTGTTCTCTCCTTGTAGCTGCCATGCTCACCGATGCCAAGGCCTTCGCTCTCAGTGTCGCTGTGCTCTACATCAAGTTCCTTGTTTGCACCATGATCCAAGGTCGCAAGGCCTTCGCCGCCGGAACTCGAATGACTGAAGACAACAAGCTGCCGCAAGCCAAGAACGCGCCCAAGCAGGGATCCGCAGACCCCACAGACGACCGCGTCCGGGCGGCAGTGCAGGAAGAGATGCGCTGGAAACGGATCATCCAGAACGACCTCGAGTCCATGCCCATGGCGTTTATCGTCTTCTGGAGCGGCATCGGCGTCGGCGTGAGCTCTTCTCTAATCCAGACGCTGCTGCTGGTCTACACTGTGGCCCGCATCGGACACACAACCGTCTACTCCCTGAGTCTGCCGCACGCCCGCATGATCTTTTGGCTGATTGGTATGGTGTGCATCGTCGTGGGTGCTTTGGCTGGTGTCCACGCTGCGCTGGCATGAGCATTGGCAAACAATCGGCCGACACGTTGCAACATAGCTCAGGTCAGCCTCAAGGCAGTGGCAGTGCTAGGTACTAAGTAAGTGCTAGGTACTAAGTAGCTGCCCTGTCATTCATATAGTAGTGACGATGCGGGCTTAGATGCATGCGACTAGTTACTGTTAAATTTACGGGCCGATTCGGGGAGGCAGCAGCCACTCGGTTGTGGACCCAAGTATTAGGTGAGTTATCCACACTAACACGAGAAATATAGCAACATATCGGCTATCTTGATCCTTGCGTCTTCGCTACCATCAAAAGTCTTGCATACTGGAACCTGGTATCTTCACCACAGAGAAAGATATAGCAAGGGTCGGTGGAAGGTGTTGACAGAAGATCTTGACTATTCTACTGAGAAGGACGCTCTCTATCTCTATCTCACTTTGTCGAGCATCTGCTTGAGTTAGTGGTCTACCTTCGGCTGCTCTTCTCCCATGGATATGTGCAACTACTGTACATGCATGCTTCTTCTGTACTTCGAAGTATAACCCAAGGACTTGAACTGAAGTCAAAAAGTTTTCCACACGTACAGTATAATAGGATGTATCCAAGCTGGTGACCTTGTCGAGGAACAGCCACTAAAGTACTTAAGTAGGCCAAGGCTATCCTAATGTTAGATCCTATTCTTACGTGAAACCCGTGGCTGCGAAGTACTCAAATGCTAGAGTTCTCTCTTGGACTTGTCCAGTCCCATTACAAACGGGCACCGCATAAAATTCCAATGTGTGGTCCAGATCGCTGATACGGTACCTCATTTTGCGTAGTGCAAACTCTAGACTACCGTACGCAAATGACCGTGATTGATCCCCCCCAGCTGCCTTTCAGAGGCACCCCAAGCTAGGTTTTCATTTCACACCACTTCCGAATTTGCTCACTTACCCCCCCCCACCACTATATGGAAGATTTTTAAATGGGTCTTATGCAGAACAGGTCTTGGATTTGATCAGACTGTACTTTTTCTTTGAACTTGTGATTGGATCACAATTGCCACGCTGTGACGACGCAAAAAGTCTCACTCAGCCATGATGCTGGGAAGCCAAGCCTACCTAACGCCTCGGTGATGCCCGAGTCACACCTCCACGGACCGAGCCGTTGAAGCACCCTGGGTCGCCGCCCCCGGCAATACCGCAACGGAGTGCGTCAGAGGAAGACGAGCAAGATCCTCGCCATGAGGAGCTCCAACGCAAACGAGCCCAAGCCCCACCAGCAGAGCAGCGAGGAGGCATGACTCATGCCCCCATGCATGAGTGAGGCCTAGAAGATGCAGCAGCGCCATCGCAGGGGTCAGCAGGTGGACAAGATGCGTCATGGCAGCACGAACAGCAGGTGGGCAAGGTGCGTCAGGAGCAGCCCAAGCAGCAGTCGACCAGGAAGTGGCTTATAACGTCGACGGGTCAAGTCCGCCTCGCACCACGTGCAGCACGACATGCTGCGCTGTGCAAGTGCGCTGTGCAAGCTGTGCTATTTGGTGATCGAGGACACGGAAAGTGACGTGGTCACCGTTCGTCGCGGTTACTACAGTTGACGCACAGACCGGTACGGGCATCGTGTAGGCGGAGGTGCTCTACATGCCCCATGAGTGTGGAGCGCGTTAAGTCCACGGAGGTTATCCGGGTGCATCGCTGCTGTTCCTGCTGTTCAAGCCCGCGTAGCTCGCCGCCGCACCGTGCGCCACTCCTGACTTGTGCGCTGGCCGCCGCTGCCGTGCGGCTCCGAGTCGAGCTTGAACGCGCGCACTTTGGCCGTCACCCACGAACGAGACTGGCGCCCGCGTATCGATGCCCACGACACCTCCATGGTGCATCTGGCGGTGCGTGGGTTCCACGCGTGTGGACGCGGAGCCCGACGAGGTGTGCGCGCAATCGGACATGGCCGGCTCGGACGTCACGAAGACGCGCCAGCGCTGCTGCTGCTGGTCGCCCAAGGTTGGTCGCAGTGCAGCGTCTTAGCTTCAGAGAGGTTGTTACCGTGCTGCGGCTGTGACGCCTCGCTACGAGTTGAAGCACTGTATTTTTCTCTTAGCCAAGCAGAAGGGAATCACCTCGTTGTGGCTACTAGGTATTCTAAAGTATATGTACCATGGTAAACTAATTTTACGATATATATGCCAATTGCCAACAGTAGACTGTCGATGTTGATTGAGAGTGTGAACAAAAACGAACCCAGGTGTGCACTGCTTTGACTGAGAGACGCATACAGTTCTCAGTGTACAGAAGTCTCGAATGGAATACAATTGAGCACCACCCATAGAAGCATGATCAGCGTCTGGTATTGCAACTAATCTAACTTACAAGAACAGTTGGGAAGGGAATGTTCCATTGCGGCGGCGACGCGTTCTGCCTATTTGATAGTAAGTCTTAGGTGATAGTACATAGCAATGGATGCAATGATTTTGAGCACGACCCACCTGCCAAATACCTCTTGAACCAAGATAACCGGTCAAAATGGACACTCTTCACCTGGAGAAAGCACCACAAACTATTGCTAGAGCAGGAAGCCGAACGGGGCACGCGCGAAGGAACAAGTCATGTCATGATCCAAAGTTGTGAATGTTTGGTTCAGGTCTTCCGATTCGGTCTCACAATCAGCATGTTCAAATCCTGGACCTGATCTGCATAAGAACCAAAATATAGGCAACCCACTATATACCGCATGGTGGCCATGCTTTCCGACGTCAAGCCCTTCGCTCTGAGCGCTGCCGTGCTCTACATCAAGTTCCTGGTCTGCACCACGATTCAGGGCCGCAAGGCCTTCGCCGCCGGCACGCGCATGACGGAGGACACGATACGGCCCCAAGCCAAGATCTCCCAGCAAGGGTTCGCAGACCTCACGGTCGACCACATTCAGCTGGCTGCAGAGGAAGAGATGCGCTGGAAGCGGATCATTCAGAACGATCTCGAGTCCATGCCCTTGGCCTCCGTTGGCTTCTGGAGCGTCATCAGCGTCGGAGTAAGCAGCACCTTGACCCAGACGCTGCTGCTGGTCTACACTATCGCTCGCGTCGGTCACACGATCGTCTACTCCCAGAGCCTACCTCGCGCGCGCATGGTGCTTTGGATTGTCGGCGTGGCGTGGCGCCGTGGCTAGCTTCCTAGCTGCATTGGCATAGCTTAGAGGCTGAGCCGTAGCGGCGTGCAACGATTTTTATTTCTTTTAAATATACCTTGGTTATTCTCCACAAGTTAGCTGAGTTTTGTTCAATTGCAGAGCTTGTCGTGGTGATGCACGGCTGCCACAGAAGGGGATAGCCCCGCCATGAATGAACTCCACCGAGTAACAGAGCCCGATCGTACCTAGCCTAGACTAGGTTAGGATAAGTTTGCTTTAATTCGGGAAGGAGGAAGCGAATGTTCATGCTGAGACTTGCTGCGAGTCGAGGTCAGGCACACGAGCGCTCTAGCCTTAGCAAGAAACGGCTCCATCGTCCATGCATGGTCAGGCACAGGATAAGTTCAAATTTAGCTTTATGTGCCTGACTTGGAACGATCATCAGGCCAGAGGAGCTCGGTGCCAGTGCGGAGGACGAAGATTTGCACGTCATCGCAGGTCAGGCGGAGATCGGTCAGGCGCATGTTGACGTTGATGTAGCCATGTCTATCCTCTTAACCTGCACAATTTGGTAGCCTCTCAAACGCGGTGGTTAAACTCAGGTCACCATCCACAACGAACCACATGAACAGCCCCTTCAAAACTTGATGCCGGAAACGGTCCACCCCAAGCAGACAGCCCATCACCCTCAAGTCGTAACAAACAACGTTGTCAGACATATAGTAGCTATCTTGGGCGAGCACCTTGCTCGACCAGCCACGCGTTCGATCTCGCCAAGCCATTCCTGAACTTGCTCTCTCCACCACAAGCCGCAGCCTCCCTTCCTCCCACCTCACGCCACGATGCTGAGCGCCACCTCCGACGTCAAGGTCTTCGCCCTCAGCGCGTCGATTCTGTACGTCCAGTTTCTGGCCTCCACCATGATCTAGGGCCGCAAGGCCTTCGCCGCCAACACGCGCATGCCCGAGAACAAGAAGCTCGTGTGCAACATGGGCATCAAGGTCGACATGGACGACAAGGCCGTCAAGGCGGCGGTCGAGAGCGAGATGCGCTGGAAACGAATCATCCAGAACGACCTCGAGTCCATGCCGCTCGCTTTCGTCGTCTTCTGGGGCGCTATCACCGTGGGCGTCAACCCCAACGTCACCAAGACGCTCATGCGGGCCTACACCACGGCCCGCATCGGCCACACGGCCGTCTACTCGCTGGGAATGCCGCGCGCTCGCTTGGCCTGCTGGATGGCCGGCACCTTCTGCATCGTTGCTGCAGCAGCCAACGGCTCTCAATTAGTAACCTGTCCTATGGATATAGCTAGGCTGTGCGCCACGACAAGGAAATTCAGCCTACCGTTCTAACAATAAGTATATCTTATCTTCATGTCTTCATTGCTTTGTATAGTTCCTCCACACAGAGTCCTCCGCTTTTTAAAGTGGAGGACTCTGCGTGTTTTAAAAAACACGCCAATGGCCACCGCACACGTAGGGATAAACAGTTCGATCAATGAAGGAGAAGAGTGCAAGGTCGTCTTCAGCTTGTTATTTATTGTGGCTTTGGCGCAGATAAGCTAATTCGTGACGACTTAAACCATAGTTCAGCACGAATAGTCAGGGTACGAATAACAGTTTGAGCAGGTTTCGCGAGTTGAAAGGTCGCAGACGATTTGCCGAGCTCTTTTAACGAATGGCGGCTGCAGCTCCCGCCTTTTCTTTTTTTAAACCACTAAATCATCTCTGTCCTGGCGAGCAATGACGAAATCGAGTGACCTTCGTTGGCGCGACGTAGAAATATCCAACCAGTGCTCTGGGCGTGTCGGTGGGCTCAGTGCAGAGTTGGTATGGTTGGTTTCAAGAATAGAGATAACGTAAATGAGATCTGGGAAAATGGAAGCTTTATATACAATTTTGCCATACCGTGCAAGTTCGGACGGCTCGGACATTCGGACAACCTTTAAAACTAAATGCTATTAAATGCTCCGTGAAGTGTGGTGCACATAAAATCTTTTGCAATCCTCTGTCATACAGCGGCTGTTTAGTGGACAACGGCTTGGGGACTGCGGCCAACAGCAGCAGCTGCTGCTGCAGCAGCAAGACGTGCGGGATGTCGGCGCCGTGCGGGACGGCGGGTCGTACTGCGGCTGGTCCTCGGGCGGGGTGGCGGCCGTCGAGGCCAGCAGCAGCAGCGGGCTGAGGAGGACGAGGAGGGGGTGGAGGTGGCGGCCAACAGCAGGGTCGACGACATGAGAGGGATGCCTCGGCGGACATCTACTGTGACACTCACTTCATGTAAGTAGATAACGAGATGGGTGAATGAATCTATGTATGATGTAACTATGTGTTGGGACCTAACACTGGATCGCGACTACAATTACGTTGTGCTGTGACTGTTGTAGGGCTCAAGAACATACACCAGTGCATCTTTAAGAGCCTTGCCTTCCTGCTTAAGTCGCTGGTAATTCCTGATGCGGTCGTCTAGCTTGCCTTGAGCATACATCCGCTTCAAAACCTTAACAATTGTGCCATGCGACTTTGCTTTGACATTCTTAGCCTCCAGGAAAGCAAAAACGTTTGCCTCGGCCTCCCGTCCTGAGCTCAGGATGCGTCCCTTTGCTGTGACCTCATCTCCGGTCACGTTGTATCCGGCTGGGAGAAAAACCCGCATAAAGGCCACGGCCACCTTGCACTCGTGATAGCGCCGCCGGTTTGGACGCGCGCTGGCAACGGGGGCAGAAACCACAGTCGCGAGTGGCTTCGCACGCGAATGCGCACGAGTTGCCGCGCCGCTTGCAGTATCCGACAAAGCGCTGGACGAGCTCGACAGGCTACCAGCTGCTGTTGGCGACAGAGCGGTGGTTACGTCCGATGGGTGCTCAAGCCGCTGCACCCGCTGGTTCAATGCCTTCACTTCTGCTGCTAGCCCTCCAAGGATCTGCGTCTGCTGCTCCAAGAGCAAGGTTTGCCTCCGCAAGAGTTCGTCGTCTTCAACACGCCGTGGTGCCGGACTGCGTGGAGTGTCGTTCTTGGACGGCTGTAAGGTACGATGAATAGCCATTGACCATGCAGCAATTTCAGCCTACCTGACTTAGTGCTTCTTGAACCCGTTTGATGTACAGTGACTCTGGCCTAAGCCGAAGCATGTCGGGGTAGTGGAGAATGGTGGTGGCGGTAAGTACGTCCACTACACCATCTCGCAAGATGAGTCTCTCCGTGACCCCTTCGCAGCCGAGAAAAGCCGCTCTTGAAGTAGGCGAATTCGATGCAGAACCAGAGGATCGAAGTCATCCAGTGTAGGTAGCCGCGGACTAGCTTTTAAATCCCATCCAGCTAACGACTTGCCGACGGTTTGATCTCCCTGCGTCGTGCCAACAATATAATTGAACGCTTTGCTCACAGCACTCATGCTCCAGCCTCCACGGTCTAGAATCCAAGGTGTGCTGATTTTGCTGTCACTATTCGCGTTTTGAGCAGCTCCACGCCGAAATGAATGCGATGATAGCCCTGGCGTCAGGTTAGTACCTTCGGTTTGCCAGACACCACTCCACTTCTGCAGTACGCGATTAACATACGCGTGAATTCCGGGGACTGTCGCTTTTTTCGCATTGCTTTTGGGGTCGGCGACTCAGAGTTGGAGGTTGCTGGGGACCTGGTACGCGCATCAAGTAGTTCGCGGAGCGGCGTTTCGCCAATTTCAGTCGGCAGGACCTCTTGTGTATCTCGAGGAAGTTGATCCATGAGAAACTCGCTTGGAGTCGACTGCATAATTGTAGCCAAAGCTAGTGCATGAATTGGGCAAGACGAAAAATCGTTTGGGTCGTGAAAAATCGACGCTCCTTCATTCGAGGCAGACTTCATGCGCTTAAAGGTGATAAATAGACACCCACCTGTGTACCACGATTAAAAATACACAAGGTCAAAACCAAATTATGAAAAATAAAAAGACAAGTACTTACCAGGGTAAACAGCGACCTGGTTTTTCACGAGACACATAGTGTCTGAAGACAGACCCAGCAAATACCAAAGAATGTTGAGAAGGGCTGCATCCTGGTAGTCCTGCACAGATACAGCCCCCTTCAATGTCACTAAGCTGAGCGAGCGCAGGTCGCTTTTCGTGCACGGTGGGGCCTGGTGCGTAAAGTCTGTGCATCGCTTCGAGCAGTACTTGTCGAGGTTTGACGCAATCTTTTGCAGCCGACGACCCTATACAGTACTTAAAGCTGGAAACAGCTCGAGTAGGTGGTTCTTGATGTTGCCAAAGTAGCTGGCGACCGAGTGCTTGGATAGCAGCGAGCCCTTCGAGCTTTCTTTAAATGCTAAATACACTGCAAATTTGTCGAGAACAATGTAGAGAGTATTGCCAGTTGAATCCCCACCTACAAACTCATAGATGGCGTTGACGGTGAAGCCCTCGGCGACCGCGAAGCGCTCGAAGGCGTTGAGAGCCGTCGAGCGAGCCCGCTGGGAGTTCCCAGGTATGAGCGCTTTCGTCGAGATGAGCCGTTTCTTGAGTGGTTATGCTGCCTCGTCTGTCTGGCGCCCTCAAAATTAATATGTGTCCGAATATTAACGATATTTTCAGAATATTTGACTTACTGACTCTAACTATAGAAATATCAAATATTTTTCATATGTTCAGACAAAATATGTCCGAATTGTCCGATTTGTTACTTACGGCACAGCATGAAATTTGAGGCACGCCGATTGGCTCACAAAGTATGATAAAGTCTTCTGATAGGCCAAGCGCTAGTGTACTATTGTAATGCGAAATTCTAGATGTTCGAACGGACACGATATTCTACCATATTGTACATTATTGCCGCTTGCAAATACTTTGTCCTCTAAAATAGACCTCTAAGATAGACCACGCCTGTCTCTTAATATGAGTAGACACGAGATAGGCGAGGGCTGTTTTAGCTTTGTGCTTTGGTGGAGGCCGCTTTTAGGCCCAGAAACTCGGTTTGGCCTGTCTAGAATGGCATTTCTGCGTTTCCAAGCCGCAGAAAAGCGTTTTGGTCGAGAAAACAGAGCCCCAAACTCGGATCTTAGACCGTACTGGCGAGATATATAATTCAGACCTAGGTCTTAATTAAGAGCTGGCTGGATTAAAATCGAGATTATTAACGAGATAATAAGCATGCGTTGGCCAAAATATCTGCAAACGGCAATATCGAAACGTTTGTGTAATGAGAGCTCTAACAACTAAGGCTCCGCGAAGGCTGGGATAGGAGGTTTTTGGTATAATTGCTTTCTATTTTTATGAGTTTTTTTACAAACCACCTGCATCTCCGGCGCCTGCTTCGCAGCGGTAGCGTCTGCCCCGTAATTCACCTCAAAACTGTAGATAGTGCTTAGACACAGTGATAAAACGAACCTTGCTCGAGATATGTTTGTAGCTTGTAGAAAATGAAAATGTGTACCTTTGTATGCTTCTGCAGCAGTTCGTCCGCTTCAATCATTCACTTTACTTCACTCCTACTATTCGATATATGTTACTGACTCATACCGGTTCAATCTGCCCACGCATATAAACCTTTTGGAGGGTCCAGTGCGGCACCGGGGTCACACCGGTTTCAGGACAATGTACCAGTTAGGTGTCAAGAGGGGTCACCTTTTGACTTGACGTACCACGGATATAATCCTATTTGGTCTGCGATAGCAGCACTAACGTTGCTTCCTATCCCAGTATAATGCTTTTTTTTAGAGAGAAGGCCCCATGTACTTGACCTGGTGGCGTATATTAGCGGTAGTCAGAGTTGGATGCAAGAGCGGTTGCAAGAGAAAAAAAACGTCAGTGATTGGTCAAAATAATCTTAGAACCCATGAGATCTTACCCTAGCTACTGAGGCTCCAAAAGAGCTCATGGAGTCCAAGAGACGGGCGATGGCGCCGATTGGCTAAATTTACATCTTGGAGATATCTCTTGCATCCAACTCTGACTACCGCTAATAAGGCACTTATTAACAATAATGATTTTAAAATGTTAAACGGTAATATTAACGTTGCCATTTTTGATGTACAGCATCGAAAAGTTTGTGTGAAGATAACTTTAATGTAATGCTTTTTTACACGTTATACAGATTATCTTTTTTTACTTTTAGCACGGGTCATCCATTGCGATCAGGCGAAAACCCGGCGGTTTTCGGAGGTCAGTAGAAACTTGAGCTTTCTCAAATGTATTCATAATAATATATTTTTTGGAGAACGTTAAAAGCAGAAAAATATAAGCATTATGAGGGTTTCCAGTGCCTGGGCTTGTGTTGTTGCTGAATTATGGCTCTCGGAAATTAGACAATGCATCTCTGCAACTCGACAACAGGCACTTCGATTAAATTCTTTTGAACAATCTCGTTGAATAGTACGATTGCATATCTCGACTATTTATCCGACGGTTGACTAGGTTACACCATGTACAAACAAATAAAGAGACGTCAAGGAAAGTTCATTTCACAAGCATGAAGCGTATATAAGCTCAAATGGAAGCAGGTTGTTACAGTGCCCGCCAAAATGATCGGACCACTTCGATAAGTTCTCATAACTCGGTCAATATTGATTATCTTAAGGTGCGGTTTCGACGCTTGTTACAAAACACGCTAGGAAAGATCAGGTATGCGCTAACACTCGCGATTTTGCACTCTATGCAATAGCTCACATACAAAAACTGTTTCTGCCAAGTCGACACAATATAGGACCACCCCCATCCCAATACAAATCCTATATCAAGGGAAAACCTGTACAAAGCGATATGACCTGGGATTTGTATGGGGACAACTTACACAGAACAAATCCACAAAATGCTGACAACATCCCGACAAAGTCCTGGTTTTCTTTACTCGGATGCCTTGACCTCCGAAATCTTGCCTGATCACGAGAGATGACCCGTGTTAATGTTTTTAGATGTCCGGTTATATCCGAAATTTGGTTGATCAACTCATAACTGGAGGCTTGCAAAACCCTCACCAAAGGTCGCACATGAAATTCTATCACGGGGAATTGTTTGACGAGACCACGGTTTGGTCTCATCAAGCAATTCTAACGCGACTCTTAACTAGCAACTTGATTAAACAAGTGACTGAGCTCCACTATATCCGAAGGTCGCGTTCTAGAAACCATTTTGGGGCGCATTAAAAGCTTCGGTAATCAAAAATTAATTATGGATTAAACTGATCAAATGGCTTTATATAGGTTCTTGGAAGGCGCCCAATACGATTACTTTGATAACCCCAAGTGGTGGCTTAGCAGCTAAGCCATCATTTGGGTTTATGATCTTTTATTCGACGCGGTCTCAGTTGAATTTTGCACTGGACCTTATAATTTCTACCGCTACATGGTGCGAGGGGTGATAATATACTGACGACTATTCATATGGACCTGGAAGGACAGCACAGATCTCAGATTAACTTGATTTCACCTGGAGCACACATGTGTTACATCTTGGTGGTTGTAAATGGGTTTAGCTAGTGGTGTTTCCTACACCAAGGTTGAGGAAGTATTCGAATATCCTAATATACAGCGTATCGGTTAGAGTTACGAGTGACTGTAGCCATTTGGGCATGTAACTCTGTTACAATTCTAGCGCGGTGTGATTCGGGAGCGTGCTGTTTGTTAATCATGTTGGTTGCTAGCCTATATTCTGCATCGTAGGTGCTGCAAGTGCCCAACTGTTTGCCAGCCATTGGTTACAAAATATTCCTTCCTTATATCTAACGCCCACTTAATATGGAAAAAGCCCTATCCGTGGGGTGTGTGTGGACATTCTTTTAATTTGAATCGGTATGCAGTCGTCCCTGGGAAAACGCATAAGTTTGTGCTAGCCAAAGCTACTACTTTCTCCAAGCAATCCCCGCTATGCAATACGTATTATGTTATTCTCCTCTCCCTTTTAACTTCTTCTGTTATCCTTACGCTTTCTTACAACGTATTTCGGTTTTTAAAAGCTCGATTTGCATTAGTATTTTTTGCCAAACCTGGATGGCGCTGACCTTTAGTTAGGTTCATTTACGATTCGATAGCGCCGGGGTCTTGATAAGGATTACGTTATGGCCGTCTTAGCGGTTTGATGCTGCAGTATTAGCATTCCGGTCGAGCATTAGATATTTTGCGTCGTGCACTGCCTAGACTGACGTCTGGTGCAGTGGCTACTGAGTTGGCTCAAACAGTGTCTAAGCGGCTGTGTAGGCGGGTGCCTTTTGGTGTGCCTTGCTGCTCTCTGGGTGTGCTAAATGTGTGCGATAGGGGTGCTCAGACCGGTGCTTTTGCCACTGTCGCCTACTTTTCAGGCCGCTGCGAGCTACGCCTGTGCGCATCGTGAAATTTTGGAGTGGAGATCCCGTCCCAAAGTGTGCTCTCTTCTGGACAAAAAAGCCGAATTGGCTCTGTATAGATCAGTTGTTGTCGTTAGACGACTCGGTTGGCAATGCGCTCAAGCGGGGCGTCATTCCATGGTGACGAGTGGTATTTTATGACGCACAAGATGATAAACCCTGGAGTAAATCATTGCAAGTGTAAATTGCCGGGAAATTAGCTTACTGTCCAGACTAAAATATGTTGTAGGGGTTATTGCCGTTTGCAGATATTTTGGCCAACGCATGCTTATTATCTCGATTTTAATCCAGACAGCTCTTAATTAAGACCTAGGTCTGATTTATATATCTCGCCAGTACGGTCTAAGATCCGAGCTTGGGGCTCTGTTTTCTCGACCAAGGCGCTTTTCTACGACTTGGAAACGCAGAAATGCCATTCTAGACGGGCCAAACCGAGTTTCTGGACCTAAAAGCGGCCCCCAGCAAAGCATAAAGCTAAAACAGCCCTCGCCTATCTCGTGTCCACTCATATTAAGAGACAGGCGTGGTCTATTTTAGAGGGCAAAGTATTTGCAAGCGGCAATAACGGTATATATTATATCGTACATTTTTGGCATTATCCATGAAGCGTAAAGTGTAATTTGATTATATACACTTCAGAATTCACATACCATAATAAACTAACAAAACGTCATGTATTCTGAAACTCGTTTACACATGTAAAGCACACAGCACAAACAACCTTTACGGAAAATAGAAAGTAGTCTGACTGAAACTAACTACAATTTTCAGTGTAGCCCCCCCGTAAGCTAGCGTAAGGATACAGTACCATGCAATTCGGAAGCCTTAAAGCAAAATGAACTCGGAGCTGAGCAATCACGCTAAGTATTGCTGCTTGTCTAGGTCAGGCACACACGTGCTCTTGTTCGCAACAAGAGACGGCCCCAACGTGCTGATCAGGCGCTTGGATGAGTATTTGGGACTGGTGATAAACGTGTGTCTAACTTGGAACTGTTAAAGTTGAGCATCTCCGACGTGCTGATGCTTTGCTCATGAACATGGGACTCGATAGGAGATCTGTCCCCTCCTCCGCTAGGGACCACCAGTCCTCACTCTGCTTTTTACTAAGCCCCACACACAAGACTTCTGCTAATACACAAGCACCTCCGGGCATCCTTCCTCCTCCAAGACCTCTTCCTACAGCACCTTCACGCTGTCCTCCGCTGTCTAATCCTCTGCTATTCTTTACCTAGGTACCGAGTCCCCCAAAACTTCAACAGGAACAGTCTGTCGGAACAGCTCGACGGGGCCGAAAATTTGTACGTCATCGCAGGACCTGCAACAAACGTCAACATCATGTTGATGTTGATACAGCCACGTCTACATGTATCCTCCAAACTTGCATGCCCCCTCACATTCGGTGATAGTGTCCGTGTCGCCGTCCGCATGAGTCGCAGGGGGCACCTTCAAAACTTGATGCTCGGCAGCTTCATTCTTGAAGCTGTCCGCCCCAAGCAGACAGCGCATCTCTCCAACGTAGTCCAGCATATAGCCATCTTGCTCTCGAGCAGCCCCGCCGTCAAACCATTCCTGAATTTGCTCTCTCACCGACAATCTGCAGCCTTTCTTACTTCACCACCAATGCTGGGCCCCATCTCCGACGTCAAGGTCTTCGCCCTCAGCGCGTCGATTCTGTACGTCGAGGACAAGAAGCTCGTGTGCAACATGGGCATCAAGGTCACATGGACGACAAGGCCGTCAAGGCAGCGGCCGACAGTGAGATGCGACGGAAGCGCGTCATCCAGAACGACCTCGAGTCCATGCCGCTCGCCTTCGTCGTCTTCTGGAGCGCCATCGCCGTGGGCGTCAACCCAAACGTCACCAAGATGCTCATGCTGGCCTACACCACGGCCCGCATCGGCCACGGCCGCCTACGCGCTTGTGATGCCGCAAGCTCGCATGGTCTGCTGGATTGCTGGCACCTTCTGCATCGTCGCCGGCTCTCAGTTGATTTATCTATAGCTAGGCTGCGTGACGACATAGAACCCCAGCCTACCGTTCTATCAAAGCTCAGTATAGCACTTTATGTTCATTATCCCCTGTGCTAAAAATTCTGGGTCATGAAGGTGGCCGGCACATGGAGGACGCAGTTTGCCCATTGATCGATAAGAGCGCAAGCAGAGTGCAGCGTGGGTTTCAAAGATTCATCTTACCAACTGCGCAGTATTCTCCGTCGTTGTTCCTACTCTATCCACTCGTCCACGTCGAGCCAAGTTACTGCACGGTGCACCAGCTCTGCGGCTCCTGGCCGGGCAGGTAGTGCTTGCCGGTCTTCCAGTTGGGGCAGCGGTCTTCCTCCTTCACGCCTGCAGAGACCATAGAGGACAAAAGTGTGAGCAGCAATCCACCAATCGCAGCAGCAAGCTGCCAGTGGATGCATGCACCGTTCAGCGCGCTCTCAATGTGCATGCCGCAGCCCCTCCACGTGGGCTTCTGGCAGGTCGGGCACTCGGTCTTCATGCACATGCTGGCGATGGATACTGTAGGTGCTTGTCGACGGAGCTTTGGGGCCGAGGTGGCGGGTTCGCAAATGAATTGCGTTGCGTTCCGCCCCGGTTTCGTGCGATCAAGTCCCTGCCTGACCTCGTTCTGCCTGACCTGCTCTGTTACGTTGCGGACGGGTCAGCGACAGGCGTTGCAACATATCATTCAGGCAAGCTCTTCACTTCAAGGAGCAATGCGCTTGGTATTTTGTCTTTAGTTAGCGAGCGTATTCGTAGCTGTCTCCGATGTACAAAGGAGATCTTAGTGCTTGCCGGTCTACCATTGGGGACAACGGTCCTCTTCCTTGACGCCTGCAGGTCAGCACACAAGTGGTATTAGAAGTTGTTGACCTTCACCGTATCGATAGCACTCAACTCACCACTGAGGGCAGTGTCGATGTGGTTGCCGCAGCCTCTCCACGTGACTCGATTATCATGCACATGTCGACGGAGAGTTTGAAGACTGGAAGGGGCGAGTGTTTGGCGTTTGGTGCTTGTGCTCTGGATGATGTGAATTTGCGAATGAGCTTAATCGCGCGCGGAGTCCTCCAAACACGGGGATCGAGGTCCGCGAGATCCGTTTCCTGAAGTGGACGAATAACCGTCAAGCTATTTCCGCGGGGGGCTAACAAAAAATAATAATTCACTAAATATAAATAAAAGCATACCATTTCTTAAACCTAATTGTACTTGTCTTGTATGTTGCAATTAGAATTTGATGTACCTGTAGGAACAAATGGTGATTGTTATGATCGTTATTTAATCAGAATTGAAGAAATGCGACAATCAATTCGAATTATTTCGAAATGCATTGGAAAGAAAGTAATATTTACACCTATAAAGAATAACCAAAAATGAATTTGACGTGTTTTAAAGCTGGACTTTTATTTCTTTTTTTTCTATAAAAATATTTTGAAAATATATTTAACTATAAAAATTTAAAATTTATAGATTTAAATATTTATGTTATTACAAGCTTCTACATTTTTAGGTGCAGGATTAGCAACTTTAGGATTAATTGGGGGGGGGTCTCTATTAACCGCCAAGCTACTTGCGAGGATCCTATCCTGCCTACACGTCCCAGAGATGAAACCAAAACATGCTCATGCCGTCGCGATACCGCAGGATACACACGCCGCTGTCTTGGGCTAGACACTTCACAGACTGTAATTGTCGCTGTGGTTAATTGGTTTTGTCGATTCTATGGTCGTTATAACTTTTGTTCATCCGTCTAATAGCTCCTGCAGAAAGATGTTGGCGAGACTTTCGACAGCCTTTAGTGCTGGCCAACGAACGGGTTGACGCCGCGCTTCTGGTCGAGCCCCGCGAACGTGTGGTTCACGTCGCGGTGGTTCGCCTCGTCCGCGCGGATGCACTTGATCATGTCGTACACCTTGGCGTCTTCCGGCAAGTTGTAGTAGCTGCGGCCAATGAGCGGTGCAGTGGTGGTGCACCATTCGTCAAGGTGTCCGTGCTCCATGTCCTCAAGTAAATTTGTGTATGTCTTCACTGCTTCTTCCTCTAGGAACCCCACGAAGCGGTGACACGTTTTGGGAGAAACGAGGTAGGCCAGGTAGAACGCGGGGAAAAAGACCCCCTGCGCAGCCAGCACCATCATGCGGAAGCCCCACCCAGGCTGCTTCATGTTCATGAAGATGAGCAGGTGCATGCGCTCGTTCTCCGCCTCCTCCAGCAGCGTGTGGATCCAACCGGAGTCTCTCTTGAGCGACCGCAGCGAGCGTAGATGGTGCGCCATACCCACCACCATGCCCGGTACGCCTGCCACGGTTTCGAGGAGGAGGCATCGGTTGAGCCAGTCCTGCACGGTCATGGCGGCTCCAGGGCCGCGATACCCCGAGAGGAGGTCGAAGCCGAGTCGGAGCGTCTTGACACCGAGTAGAGCCACGTATTCATGGATCTTCCGTGGCTGGTGGTGTGTCTGCGGGATGTCGTCGATGGCTTCGAGGTTGTAGACTGGGTGGGGAATGGGATTTTTCCAGGTAGGTCCGTCGGTTGTGCCGGCCACCGCCGAACTACCGATCGGAGTGAGTGCGTGTTTGCTCGACGACTGCGTAAAGTGCTTGATCGACGCAGGCTCTTCAATCACGTCCTTGATCTCGGGCAACGGAGCAGCCGTCCACTTCACATCAGGTAGCTCCACTTTCGCTGGCGGGGAGGGGGAAAGCTTACCCATAGCGGCGGCCGGGGCCCTAGCGAACACGCGCCAGACCATGTGACTGGGCAGGATGGGGAGGCTGTGCACCTTGACGAAGAAGACGGGCTTGTCCGTGCGAGCCTGCGCCACGGCCGACAACTGGTGCGGAGCGAAGCCAAAGTGCGCGCGGACCCTCGAGCTCGGGCGACACGACCGCAGCAGGCGTCCAGACATCATCTTGGCTGGAAAAAGTGGAGTGCTTAGCATAAAGCTTGCGAGTTCACAAGTGAGCAGCGAAGCAAGACTCAGGCCAAGCTGGCAGCTAAGATTGGGAGTAAGGACATTGCTTCAGAATAGCATCAAAGACGTCGCTCGTCCTGGGAGTTTCGAGCCGCTCTCCGCCCTACGTTCGCCGCTAAAGTTGGTGCACAAGCACAAAGTGCCTCTAATCTGCTGGGTCGACATTAAGGTTAGGCAAGGCATCCGCAGCAACGTCTATGTTGAAGTTGTAGGCAATTACGTAGGCCCTGTCGTAGTCCATACCGACCTATTTATACATCCAGGTCAGGATGGTGGGTCCAGGCAGCGGAACCAGGGCTCAGTCGCCAATCCGCCGCCAAGAGCCCAAGCGAACACTAAGAAATCCCAAGCCAGTCCCCGCCGCATCACGATGTGCATGAAAGTGGAGTGCCCCACCTGCCACAAGGCCACGTGGAAGGGCTGCGGCCAGCACATCGACGCCGCGCTCACCGGTGCGTCCGTCGGCCACCACCCAAGGCCTAAAAGATACTTTTAAGACCAACCACGTCTCACCCCCCTCTCTCTCTGATCTCTGCAGGCGTGAAGGAGGAGGACCGCTGCCCCAACTGGAAGACGGGCAAGCACTAAACGCCCTCCTGCCAGTCCGGAGAGGGAGCGAGGGAGGGGGCGTGCCTTTATAACCTCATGAGATGAGAGCGCCGACATCTTCAAGCAGATAGGGGATAGGAACGGAGATGCCGCTAAAATAACACGACAAGTTTATTCCACAAGTAGTTTGGCTCTCATTGCTACTGCTGCTGCTACTACTATCCGCTGACTAACTTACCGTCGTCCGGTGTGGAACTTGTAGAGGATGAAGGTGAAGACGATCTCCAGGCCGATGGCGAAACACACGAGGATGAGCATGTTCTGCGGCGTGTCGACGTCCTCCATGTCCAGCCGCTGCAGGATGGCCTTGGCCGTCGGGGTGTCCACCTGGTTGAAGTGCTCGAACACGAGCGACTTGAACGAGTACGAGTGGAAAGCCAGGTAGTTGGACCAGATCCAGTAGTCCGGGATCGTCGACTTGGGCACCATAAAGCCCTCGCACAGCATGAACATGCCGTAGATGCCAGCGCCCAGAGCGATGCCGATGATGTAGAGCGGCACGGCGGCACCAATGACGTGCATCAACGACTCAGCCACCACCAGCGCCAGGAACAGGTTGAGCAGGAAGTACCAGAAGCCGTGGAGACCCGAGAGCAGCACGACCAGGAACGTCGAGACCGCTGCGATCAGGAAGATACCCGGTAGAGTGGCGATGAAGTTGGCGACCACGTAGCTGAACACGTTGAGGCCGCTGTTGGCGCGCTCCCGCATGAACACCGCGCGCTGCTCCATGAAGAAAGGTAGAACAGCCACCGACATGAAGACCAGGAACGTCTGCACGTAGAACAGCAGCGGCACCATATCCTGCTCGGAGATGTCGTCGTTGGTGGAGAGGTACATGGTGCCCACCATGAAGGACAGCAACATGTACATGGCCAGTCGGACCCAGTAGATGCCCGGGTTGCGGGCGTTGTTGATCGAGTTGCGCTCCAAGAGCACGAAGAATTGGCGGAGAGCTGGGGGTTTCATCGGGAGGACCGGCGCAGCATTATGAACTCCGGCGATGTCGGCCTCGATGCTCTGCAGCATAGTGGAGGCCGTCGTGCTGATTGCGTAGCGCTGCACGAGCTTTTTGATGTCAGCGTGGCCAGTGAAGTCGGAGTTGACGAGACTGAGGAAGTACTCGGCTGGGTTCATGTACATCGGACAAGTGTAGCCCGCTCCCGAGAACTGGTCGATGATGAGCTCGCGCGGCCCAAAGTAGACCGTCTCGCCGGCGGTCATGATGGCGATGTTGGTGAACATGTCGTACACGAGGGACGAAGGCTGGTGGATGGTGCAGATGACCGTCTTGTTCTCCTGGCACAACCTCGACACGAACTCCATGACGTTGTGCGTCGACGCGGAGTCCAGACCCGACGTCGGTTCGTCCAGCAACAGGATCGACGGCTCCGACAGCAGCTTGATGGCGATGCTCAGTCTTCTCTTCTGACCTCCTGAAATCCCCTATCCCCCACCAGCGTGTGCTCACACCATCTCGTCGACAACCGTCTGCACGCGTTTCACGATGGTTGCACCATCTCGAGCGTCTCCAGTACTGTGAACGACCCCATCAGCGAGTCCTCCTGCGCGACGTAGCTCGACACGGCCCGAAAAGTTCTCACGTTACGCTTCTCGCCGTTCAGCGAGATACTTCCCTCGATGGTACCGGAGCTAATGCGGTCGGCGAGAATGTCGAGCAGCGTCGTCTTGCCAGAACCGGACGGGCCCATGACCGCGGTGAGCTCGCCAGGTGCACACCGACCGGTGACTTTCGTCAGGATGGTTTTCTTGCCGTCGGGGTGCTTGGTCGATTTCTTGACGTCGACAGTGTAGGTGAGGTTGCGCCAGCTTAGAGTGCACGGGTTCTTAGTCACGTGCAAGACGCTCTTCTCCGCAGATGGCGTTGGGATGTTGGGCTCGCTGTCGAGGGCGTTGTACACGACGTCGGGCGCTCGGAGACACTGGGGCGTGGAGCTCGGGCATGTCTGTTGCAGTAACAGCAATGCTTCCAACGGAGATTCTTTTCAGGGGAATTGCGCTGTGTCAAGTTGAATGAGCGCTGCGCTTGGAGAGAGCTCTTTTGCGAAGTGATGTGAGGTTATTTCACCGCTGCTGAATGCCAGCGTGGCAATTTAACACGGGTATTCCAGGGCTGCCCGTTGTGAAACAGCGGGTTTATCGCTGGCTTGACCGGAATTCGTGGGATTGTACTGCGACCGGTGACCACCGTTGTGCACCGTTGACCACCGCTTTGCTGTACTGACAGATGTACTGTTCACCCCGAGAATAACTGACCAATAGCAACAGCCGACTGTTGACATCCGTGTTTGGAAGAACGAAGCTCTTCGCGAGGGCAACGTTCTCACCGAGCTCGCGCTGTTAGATTCCGATGCCCACGCTGTGGCCGTGACGAGAGAAGTACGTGTGTGATATATGTCTACTACAGTAATGCTGACCAAAAAGCTGACGTTTTGCGGCATGGTCTTCAATGTTTATGCTGCTATCGTAGTAGGCATATTGTTCGGCTTCGTGAATGATGCTATTGGGGTCCATGTGGAGGATGCAGGTCAGCCAGCAGTGCTACCTTGCCTCGGTACAGCGCACAACGCGCAGCAAGACCCTGCTTCAGCGACGGCGTCGAGCTGGGAACAGTCACCGCTGCGGTACAAAGGATTTGGAGATGAAGCGCGTTGGAGTGGACATCATCGACATCGGTGGGGAGTCCAGTCGCCGCGGGGACAAGCCCGTGACACTGAAGGAGGAGATGCTACGTGTGCTGTCCGTGCTCCGCGAGCAGAGCGAAGAGCGATGAGGCCATCCCCATTGACACGGCCAAAGCGGCAGGGGCCCGACAAGCTGTCGAAGCCGGGGAAACTTTGCCTACAGCATCTCGGCTGGATTGAACGACCAAAACATGCTTGCTATTGTCGCCAAGCTGCGTGTTCCGGTGGTGCTAATGCACATGCGCGACACGCCGCAGACGACGGCTGGGATCAACGAGTACGACGACGTGGTCGCTGAAGTGGGGAAGTGTTGAAGGAGCGTGTGGCGGCCGCAGAGGCCGCGGGTGTTCCGCTGGAACATTATCTTTGGTGCTGGCTTTGCCAAAGCGCACGTACGCTACTCTGGACCGTGCAGCAGGGCGTGCCATAGCCTGCCGCTGTTGTTGGGCCCTCTTCATTGGCGAAATATGTGGACGTCCAGTCCCGAAGACCATGCCTGGGGCACCGCCGCCGCGTACTGCGCTGCCATCAAGCAAGCAGCTAAAATTCTGCGCGTCCGAGTCGAGATGGTCGATGTGGTCAAGGTGTCACGTCATTTGGCGCGAGGCTTAGCGTACGGTAGGAATTTCGACCTCTTTCATTAACTGATACAGCGTCTACAAGCCGTGACATGCTAAGTCCAATGATACCTAATATGGTAACATAGGAAAACCTCAGCGAATATGTACTTATTATCAATGTTAGAGAGTGTCCGACCTTTAGCCATGCCGCTGCATGCATAACAAGACCAATACTACGTCGTTGTGTGCTCAATACCGTGCGCCTTGTACAGCTTTTCAGCTGGAGTACATGTGAGATAGCTGCAAACAATATTTTTTGGTTGGCGAGCGGGCGGCTGGCCCCGCCACCCTGCGGGTGGCGGGAACCGGCCGCCCTGTCGGCCCGGGAATGCCGGTCAAGCCTTATCGCTAATGCCCTGGTGCCTGTCGGCACCACCGTTTACGTTTCGGCAAAACGTTCGTTTCCCCGCTCAAATCCTGAAATAGAGCAGTGAGCATCAATCTCTCCTAAGAGAGAGATCTGTACGTGTGTCCGTAAGTCCGTGACAACATAATAAGGTGGTCCACATAATCGTACATAGACAGCCTTGGACGCCACCCAGCGGGCCGCAGGGCTCGCTCTACAACTATGTACTAATAACTGTCACGTGGCTGTTGAATGTCTTGAGCTCTTGAGTGTTAATCCACAACGGAGTTTTGAATTAGCTGCCTGAAGGTTTATCTACGCTCTTCTTTCTCCTAGATCTCTTCGTAGTTCTGCTAGCAAACTAATCCTACTTCAACATCAACATCAAGCATGTGCCAAGGCTTCTCACCTGAAGCCTGGTAAACGTCAAACATGCAGCCGTGCTGCTGGTCTCGGAGAGCAGCACGAGCGTTCTGAGCAGCACGTCACTGCGGCTGCTCACAGTCTCCTCCACGCTTGCCCTTGCAAGGCCGCACACGACGGATGTGCACCTTCTCCAGGTAGCGGCCTTTGTCGAGGGTGAGCGTCCCGTGTTCTTGCACCGCGATGACTTCGAACGGGCCGTCGAACAGCGGTTGCATCTTGCCTTGGACGCCGGCGTCACGGTGCAGAAGCACGTGGTCTCCAGGGCGGTACGTCCACTTGGCACGCCCTTGGTTCTCGCGCTCGTTGTGTGCGCGCACCTGCTCCACCTTGCGTCGATGCTCAGCAGTCCAGTCAGTAGCGTGAGCGACGTCCACAAGCATGTCGCGGCCGAATGCGAGCTGGACTGATGACGCCTTCAACATGGAGTGGTTGGAGGCCCTCAAGGCTAACATCGTGTTGTTCAGGAAGTTGGCCCAGTCTTCTTGCGTCTGGATGTCCTTCGTCCGCATCTTCTCACCGATCACGCGGTGCACGCGTTCGATGACCGCGTTGGCTTGCGGGTTCCTCGTTGTCGTGGGCACGCTCTCCACTCCGTAGCTGTCGAGCAGTTCCGCGAACTCCCACTTGAACTCGCTGCCGCCGTCGTGAATGCAGCGTGCGGGGCGAGGGTAGCGTGCGAACCAGTACCGATCCATCAGGTACGCCGCTTCCATACTCGTTGCATCGAGTGTAGGAAGGATCTCAATGAGGCGGGTCGCAGTGTCGATGATAGTCAGCGCTTCTTGCCGTACGGGCCGATCGAGTCGACGGCAATCTCGAACCACGGCCGGACTTCGACCGACTTTGGCGGCAACTTGCCGAATCGAGTCGTAGGGTGCTTGGCCTTCAAGCACACGATGCAGTTGTCCACGAGTTTGTGCACGTCGGCTTCCATGCCCCGCCAGTAGAACACTTGAGCAATCGTGTGCAGCATTGTGGCTGCGCCTGGATGCAAGAGTAGGCCGTGGTAGCTTTGCACGAGTCGCTGTTGTAGTCGCTTGGGCACCAAGACCTTCGACTCGGGGTGCACCCGCAGCATCGTGCCTGCAATCTCTTGTTCGTCACTGTCTCCAAGACTAGTATCACGCCGTTGTTCATCTGCGATCACACGCAGGTCCACAGCAAACCCGTCGTCCATTGCCGTCTCTGCAACGGCTGCCATCGTCGGCGTGGTAGTCTCCTCCACTTCCGATGCTGCTACCATCAGCAGCGCGGCCTTCTCCTCCAGTTCGGCACTAGCTTCGTCAGAAATGGGCAGTCGCGACAGCGCGTCGGCGACGACGTTGTTGCTACCCGGGATGTAGTGAAGGTCGGGCCGAACTCCTCAATCTCCAGACGCCACCGCATCATGTGGACGTCATGGAATGTCGAGTAGGTCAAGTTGAGGTGGTCGGTATGCAGGTGAAGCTCCTGCCCCAGCAGCATGCTGCGAAATTCGCGGAGCACCAACAGGATGCTCAAGAGTTCCAATCGATTGGCCGGATACGCTGTCTGTGCCTGGTTGCATTTCTTGGACCAAAATGCAAGAGGCTGGTCGTCTTGCGTGATCACTGCACCAAGTTGCAGCTTGGACGTCAGTGTAGACGTGGAACGGGCGGCCGTTTGCCGGAAATGCGAGCAGCACGCGTTGCGCCAGCGCGTCTTTCACGGCGTCGAATGCGGCTTGTTCAGTAGCAGACCACTGGAATGTCTGCAATGGTGAGGTGAGCCGAGTCAGCGGTGCCAGCAACGAAGCTCGTCGCGGTAACATGTCGCTATAGAAATTGACCATGCCCACAAATCTGCGTACTTCGCGGCGGTTGCGTGGTGGCGCAATAGCCAGGGTCGCCGTCACCTTGTTCGCCGAGATGCCATCCTCACTGAGCTGGTAGCCCAGGTACTCGACCACGGAAGCGCAGATCTTGGACTTCTTGCGGTACAGCGTCAAACCGAAGTTGAGCAGGCGACGAAACCGAAACACCTCTTCCAGATGCTGCATGTGCTCCTCGAAACTGTTCGAGGTCACCAAGATATCGTCAATATAGACTCGCACATAGTCCAGGTCGCCAAGCTCTTCGTCCATGCGAGCCTGAAATTCATCAGGGGCGGTACACACACCCATCGGCAACCGCAAGAACACGAACTTCCCCAGCGGGGTCGTGATCGCGGTGCAAGGTTGGCTTTCGGGGGCCAGTACGCGAGTGTAGTAACTCAACGGGACGTCAAACACCGATTTGTACTTCGGCTTATCGACGGAGCGCACCATTTCCTTGGCGTCACGGGTCGGGTAGAAGTTGCGTTGCATCCACTCGTTCAACTTCCGAAAATCGCACACCAGCCTCACACTACCGTCCTTCTTGGACACCACGAACGCAGGCGAAGCCCACATTGATGACGGGTCTCTCTTCAACACACCGATGTCCACCAGGTGCTGGATCTCGCGGCGAGTTGCGTCGTAGTACGCACGCGGGATCGGGAACGGTCGGGCGGCCACAGGCTTTGCGTTAGGCTTCAGCGGCAATACGTATGGCTCCTTCTTCATCGTTCCCAGAGCACCAGTGAAGAGGTCCGCGAACCGTTCCACCAGTTTCATCGCCCTGGCCTTTTGAGCCTCCGTCAAGTTGCACCCTTCGAACATGGTCTCGAGCGGCACTTCCTCCGGCTGGGTCAGGTTAATCTCCGCTCGGCACTCAGTGTCTGCCTTCAACACTGCTGCAAACGGCCTCCCACTTCGAGGGGACATGTCCATCTGCAGTTCAATGCCATCCCATTCAATGACCCCTCGTTCAAAGTCGAGCACCAATCGTTGTTGCACCAAGAAGTCTCGCCCAAGCATGATGGGGGTACAGAAGCTGCTCAGCTACACGGAACTCGTGCGAGCAGGTCCGCGTCTGCGAGAAATCGATTGAGCTTGAACGTGGCGGCAGCGCAGTGGGTTGTCTTCCCAAGCGAGCCGTCCGCGTTGCGAAATTGCGCAGTCTCGCGCCGCAGTTTAATGTGCTGGTGAACCAGCTTCGAAGTCTTCAGATCCATCGCCGATCTCGTGCATCCAGTGCCCAGCAGGGCCGGGATACGGTGGTTGCCCAACAGGAGCCCGATCTCCATTCGAGGGTCTTGATCGCGGCGCAGCGCAGCTCGGTCAGGCACGCCGTGCATGACGGCCATCTCGTCCTCCTCACCAGCGCTGTAAAAGCGCATCGCAGCAAACTCCTCGTCCTGCCGCTTCTTCATCGAGCTCACCATCGCCGCCATCTCGGCCATCTGCTCCTGCATTGCGGCCATGGCATTCGTGCCACCAGTGCGTCGCCCCGAGTGAGAGTTGTAGTTGCCACTACGCGGGCGATACGCAGGCGATGCCGGGTTCCTAATGCAGTGGTCATCATCGTGATTGTCCTTCTTGCAGTAGTTGCAGTAGCGGCTTCCTGCCCCGCGGTTGTTGCTCCGTGGGTTGCGGTTGTCGGCATGCTGCTGACGAGCGCCGCTGCTCCGGTGCTGACCTTGCTGCTGCTGTTGCTGCTTTGGCCCGTTGCGTTTGGGCCGGTTGTTGCGCAGGATGGCTTCATCGCGCTCGTTTCTCTCGATAAGTTCGAACTGAGTCTCGATGGACGCCAAGTCCCAGATACGAGAGATGCGGTTGACTTCAACTTGCCAATCAACAGGCATGCCAAGTTGGTACATGCGCACGGCGTCCGCTTCGGCAACGGCCTCGTTTTCGCGGTGCTCAAGAAACGGGATCATGCGCAGTAGCATGCGAAAGCTGCTGCTGTACTGCCGCACGGTGTCTCCGCGCTTCTTCTTCAGTTGCGTGAGCTCGTCCATGAGCAGACCACGCGTGCCGGCTGGGCAGTGCCTCGTCGTGAGGTGCCGAAGGCCAGCGATTGCCACGTCGGGCCTCAGCTGGGCCTCCTCTCGGACGAAGTCGTCGAAAAAATGGAGGTCCTCGTCGAACAGGAGGAGCTGGATGTCCTCCACGAACGCGAGTTGGTCTTCCGAGTCGTACCCGTACTGCATGAACGGAACGGGGCGATTACGTCACCCCCGCCGTGACGCATGGCCTAATATAATACTTTTCGGAACACCTGCTATTAATTAAAATGGGCCCACCGCGTAGTAGCAGCGATAGCAGAGCCCGCTAAAACATATAATAGCACTGCGAGTAGTGCATAGTGGCAGCGATAGCTGGGCTTGCCCTACTACATAGTATAATTTTAATTCAGCGAACTTGGTTAAATATAAGCACATTGTAAGCCATAGCAGCGCATAGTTAGCTATAGCAGCGCGTAGTCAGCGATATGAACGTATAGTTAGTGATAGCAGCACGTAGAAAACGATTGCAACGGATACTTAGCGATAACAGCGCATAGTAAATGATAGTAAATGATAGCAGCGTATAGTTAGCGATAGAAGCGCATAGAAGGCGATAGCACCAACGTAATAAGCGATAGCAGTGCGAGTACATGTAGCGAGACGAACAGTAGCTGAAGACGATTGATTAATAGTTTCAGGTTAGTTTTTGTGTAATACTTTAGGGACGGATATATTATAGCTGCAGTGGTGCTGAGTGCTCATCTATAAAGGCATATAGCTGCATTGGCTTCAACGTGTGGCATGTATCTGTAACTTATAGTATTTAGCGGTAAGATAATGGGTTCTGGGGATAGTAGATGCCTAGACATGCATTGGAGTGGAGGTTTTATTGTAGTTCATACTGGCATTCCATTGACGCGTTTCCTCACACTCTAACAATACTGACGAGTCGTACAATACCTGTATATTAACGAATTAGCTGTATGAATTTTGAGCGCGACGGCGATACTTTCGCTACTCAACTAGAGGTAGTACGCAAAAGTGTTAATGTGCATTACGTAGTAGAATAATTTACTGATACGCACGTCTTGGCTCATTAAAAATGAGATTTGAAGCGGGATACGTCGAAATTAACGCAGTCCACAGCTCATTACATTCTTAGGGCCGTACAAAATGTTGAAACGATGCAGCACGATATATATACGTTTTTTTTTAAAGAAAACTAGCTCGAAAGGTAATGCTGAGAACATGAATAGCGAAGCCATCACTTTGGGCTTATCGCCTGATCACAGAATGTAAATGCTATAGCCTACCAACCGTATAGAGAAACAAACTATAGTTATGCGATAACATGATAAAATAACAGGTATACAGACTTCAAAGTGAGCACACTGTAGCGTATTGATCTACCCCACCACGACATGCAGCTCTTTAATTCTACTACATGTACAACACACAGATTACTTAGGTATGTACTCCGCGGGGACTTCGTAATCGGATTAAGTAGTTGCACCTGTTTGGACCCGGTTTACAACAGGGTACCGTACGATAGATCGAATGTTTTACCTGACTACATTCATCTACTCGGACGTAGGGATATGTATTAAGCTGATTTCAGTCACGTCACACTACTGATAGTACCTCAACGTAAATAAACATTTTTTACATGCACACAAGCAAAATTTAATAGCCTTTAAACTAAATAAAAGCCCACCGGGGCGAAGCGGAGGTGGGCGGCCCTTAGTACTACAACTAACCACAAAAATACCGCCGCGTAGCGGCGGCGCTCGGCTAGTACAATAATCAAGTAAGAAGACAGGTGGTTCGAGGGGATGCAAACAGCGAAGACAAGAATATGCATCGGCTGACAGGAGGATTGCTGGGGCTAACAGTGTACTAGTATTGCATTAAACATTTGCATTGAAGAAGGAGTGAATACTGACCGTTCTAGTTATTGTCTGCAATCGCTCGCAGTAGCCCCTTTGCTATGGATCTCCGCAGCGTTTTCTTCTCTTTCGACAGCTTCCGCATGCTGTAGCAGTGCTTGTAGCCGGCGGAACTACTCGTGCGTAAGCAGGTAACGCTGGGGCAGCAGGTATACTCGCTTGCTCGTGAAATTGCGCTCTTCGACATCGCTTTGTGGGCTCCATTAGTCGCTGCCCCAGCGAGTCTGGGTTCATATCGCTGTCTGGATACCTCTCTTGGAAAAGGGCAAACATCTCAACCCACTGGTTGGGAGCTCTCGGTCGTGCTGCAGCTTCTGCTCGAAAATATTCCAAATCTGATGGCGATATTCTAGTGTACTTACGCTTCTTGCTTTTGGCAGCAGGACGAACAGCATGTCCGCCTTCACAACGAGAACCGTGTACAGCTTCAGCATGAAGGCCACTACCTTGGTCGACTGGCGCTTGTGTGAGATGCTGCTGTAATACTGCTGGAACAAATGTTGAGATGCCACTCACCAAAGCATTGCTAGTTGTCGCCAGATCTGGTGTTGCTCCCACCCCCACCGCAACGTCAGCTGTACTTAAACGCCTAGAGACTGCTGTGCTGGTTGCAGCGACATCACGCGACGGCGTTGCTGGTAGGATAGCATCTGCGGCGTCACTGCACTCAGCAAATTCGCTCCGGGCAAAGCCTTCTGCGCGTGGGGGCTTAATTTTTGGTTCGCCACCATTGTTGGCCGCTGTTTTGAGGGCAGCCCATTTGCGTTTGAGAGCAGATTCGTCCTTGGGAAAAATACCCTCACAAACTCGACTTGCAAAATCATAAACACGGACAAACACTTGCGTTCTGCTCTTGATGGTCTTTGCAGCTCGCAATACACCAAACAAATCTATCATCAGCTTCTGCTCGTCAGTATTTTCCTTGCTGGTAGTCGTACGATTTAGATCAAACGAGAACAGCGGAGGTCTGCTTGCGAAGGATTTTTTAGTGCAGCTATCCACCTTCGGGTCCGACATTTGCTTTAACTTCCCCTCGATCGTTGAGTAGGATCTCCGGCGCAAACGAAAAGCCACATTTGTGTTACACTCTACCACCATGTTGAAAAGTATCGTCGTGACAAGGACACACGATTTCCACACAGCCCCTTCTCGATCCTGCTCAAACCGGACTTGACGCAGCAGCTTGTACTCTTCTAGCGAAAAATCAGAGGATGGTTCGTACGAAGTCTCAGTCAGCTGCATCGACTCAAAGAACGCCTTCGTGCGAAGGGGGGTTGACTGGGCAACTTTTGCGCAGTTGAAAAATAGTTCCTTTATTGTTTTCTTGTGGCGTCGAGAAGCGGTAAGTGTAGCATCAATGCCAGCATTGCTCACACGCGCACTTTCAAAAATTCGTCTCCATTGGTCGAGATCAAAGTCTATGCGTGAGGCTGAGCGGTATTGCGGAGAAATCTGGGGTTGGGACAGCATCGTTAGCGCAAACTCTAATTGTGCCGACTCTGGCAACGCGCCTCGGCTTAGCAAAGCAGCTTGAGCTAGTTGTATGAAGTCCAGTTCCCCTAAATTTGCATTACGACCAAACTTTGTCCCAACGCGGAGATTGTGGCGAACAATAAAAATGTCAAGAATTTGCAAACCAACGGGAGCTGACACAGTGCGGATAAGTAGTTTTTTCAAGGCGGAGTGAAATCCTTCGAGTTGACTGGTGGATACGACTCTCACCGTCTTAGCTGTCTCCTCGTACGTGTTATTAGAGACAAAGAGATCTCCGCGACGAATCTGCTTCGCGTTACTTTCATAACAGCCGCGCCACTCTGCATCCGAGCAGTTCACGTCCGCCAATGCAACACTTCTCACAGCACGTAAAAATCCTTTCTCCATTTCGTCAACGAGTCGCAGCTTGCGATCTACTGTGTAGAGCGCATTACTTAGCTCCTTAGATAACCACTTTCGCTTAGTTGACTTAACCTTCTCGGTTATGCGCTGTATTACATGGAACGGGTCTTGCTTGGTCCAGACACGATCACCAAACACTCTGCTAACCAGATTGCGAACGCCAGTGGCATCATCACTTACTACCAAAAGCTCAGCATCGTCAGTAAACGGTGCAAGCATGGGCTCCACACGTTTTAGTAGCTCCTCAGTTTCATCATTGTTCTCTGAGCGTGTAAGGCAACGACCATCGACCTGCCCAATTTCATTTTGAGCGAGAAGAAGCATCTTACAGTTTGCCATACCATCACGTTTCCCACTGCCTGTCCAAATCTTAAGACGCTTACAAAATTTCACGGAGTGATCAATGCGGAGCGCTCTTCGAATCTTCAAGTGCTTCATGAGATTTTTACACAGAGGACTGTAAATCGTTGTAAATTCCATCCAAAACGCTGTCAGCGTTTGGGTAGTTGGTGGAGCATTGTCGGAGGCATACTGAGAGCAAGTTGGCGGGGTCGAAGATACATAGTCAGCATTAGCGTTCCGTCGCCGAACTCTATCCGCAAAAAGAGTGTAGAGCTTGTAATACCGGCTTTGGCGCCGGCGCTCCACAGTAGCCAATGCACTCGACAGCCCATTCGGCGTATGCAGAAGCACTTGGAGTTTCTGCTTCACTTCCCTTTTGTTTTGTC